CTTACTCCTATGTCATCACAACAAACCATAGAAAACATGTTATTTTTAGACAAGTTTTGCAAGGATATAAGGCATTCGGAAAAATATCAGGCAGTTCCTAAGTCATGATCTATGACTGCAGCTGTTTTGGATTGGCTGATTGGCTACTGCGCTCCAGGACATATAAATATACTACAACGCGCAGTCCAAAGTTATCAGGGTTTCACCTGTTGAGAGTTTGGGGATAATAAGAATAGATAACAGACAGACAGACAGACAGATAGATAGATAGATAATGATAGATAATTGTATAAATAAATACAAATATATATATATATTTTATAAAAATACTACTGGCAGATGACTTAGGAACAAGAGACTCCAATGACATAAGAACTATTTTTTTCTCTTACCGTTTAATTGGCCAAGACTGAGAAATGGCCAAGACTGAGAACGCGCAGTCCAAAGTTATCAGGGTTTCACCTGTTGAGAGTTTGGGGATAAGAACAGGTAGATAGATATACATATATATATAATATAAATATACTACTGGCAGATGACTTAGGAACAAGAGACTCCAATGACATAAGAACTATTTTTTTTTTTACCATTTAATTGGGCAAGACTGAGAAATGGCCAAGACTGGGAACGCGCAGTCCTAAGTTATCAGGGTTTCACCTGTTGAGACTTTGGGCATAAGAATAGATAGATAGATAGATATTTAAATATATATTATGTAAGTATACTACTGGCAGATAAGAGACTCCAATGACATAAGAGCTAGATTTTGTTTACCATTTAATTGGCCAAGACTGAGAAATGGCCAAGACTGAGAACGCGCAGTCGTAAGTTATCAGGGTTTCACCTGTTGAGACTTTGGGCATAAGAATAGATAGATAGATATTTTTTGTTTGTATTATATAAATAAACTACTGGCAGATGACTTAGGAACAAGAGACTCCAATGACATAAGAACTAGATGTTTTATTTCCATTTAATTGGCAAAGACTGAGAAATGGCCAAGACTGAGAACGCGCAGTCCTAAGTTATCATGGTTTCACCTGTGGAGAGTTTGGGGATAAGAATAGATAGATAGATATTTAAATATATATTATGTAAATATACTACTGGCAGATGACTTAGGAACAAGAGACTCCAATGACATAAGAACTATTTTTTTTTTTTTACCATTTAATTGGGCAAGACTGAGAAATGGCCAAGACTGGGAACGCGCAGTCCTAAGTTATCAGGGTTTCACCTGTTGAGACTTTGGGCATAAGAATAGATAGATAGATAGATATTTAAATATATATTATGTAAGTATACTACTGGCAGATAAGAGACTCCAATGACATAAGAGCTAGATTTTGTTTACCATTTAATTGGCCAAGACTGAGAAATGGCCAAGACTGAGAACGCGCAGTCGTAAGTTATCAGGGTTTCACCTGTTGAGAGTTTGGGGATAAGAACAGATAGATAAATTTGCTTTTAAACTATATGAATATACTACTGGCAGATGACTTAGGAACAAGAGACTCCAATGACGTAAGAACTAGATTTTTTTTACCATTTAATTGGCCAAGACTGAGAAATGGCCAAGACTGAGAACGCGCAGTCCTAAGTTATCAGGGTTTCACCTGTTGAGACTTTGGGCATAAGAATAGATAGATAGATATTTAAATATATATTATGTAAGTATACTACTGGCAGATGACTTAGGAACAAGAGACTCCAATGACATAAGAACTAGATTTTGTTTACCATTTAATTGGCCAAGGCTGAGAAATGGCCAAGACTGGGAACGCGCAGTCCTAAGTTATCAGGGTTTCACCTGTTGAGAGTTTGGGGATAAGAACAGATAGATAGATTTATGTATATATATTGTATAAATATAGTACTGGCAGATGACTTAGGAACAAGAGACTCCAATGACGTAAGAACTAGATTTTTTTTACCATTTAATTGGGCAAGACTGAGAAATGGCCAAGACTGAGAACGCGCAGTCCCAAGTTATCAGGGTTTCACCTGTTGAGACTTTGGGCATAAGAATAGATAGATAGATATTTAAATATATATTATGTAAGTATACTACTGGCAGATGACTTAGGAACAAGAGACTCCAATGACATAAGAACTAGATTTTGTTTACCATTTAATTGGCCAAGGCTGAGAAATGGCCAAGACTGGGAACGCGCAGTCCTAAGTTATCAGGGTTTCACCTGTTGAGAGTTTGGGGATAAGAACAGATAGATAAATTTGCTTTTAAACTATATGAATATACTACTGGCAGATGACTTAGGAACAAGAGACTCCAATGACATAAGAACTAGACTTTTGTTTGCCATTTAATTGGCCAAAACTGAGAAATGGCCAAGACTGAGAACGCGCAGTCCAAAGTTAACAGAGTTTCACATGGCAAGAGTTTGGGGATAAGAACAGATAGATAGATTTATGTATATATATTGAATACAAATATACTACTGGCAGATGACTTAGGAACAAGAGACTCCAATGACGTAAGAACTAGATTTTTTTTACCATTTAATTGGCCAAGACTGAGAAATGGCCAAGACTGAGAACGCGCAGTCCCAAGTTATCAGGGTTTCACCTGTTGAGACTTTGGGCATAAGAATAGATAGATGTATGTATATATATTAAATACAAATATACTACTGGCAGATGACTTAGGAACAAGAGACTCCAGTGACATAAGAACTAGATTTTTCTTTACCATTTAATTGGCCAAGGCTGAGAAATGGCCAAGACTGAGAACGCGCAGTCTTAAGTTATCAGGGTTTCACCTGTTGAGAGTTTGGGGATAAGAACAGATAGATAGATTTATATATATATTGTATAAATATACTACTGGCAGATGACTTAGGCCCAAGAGAGTCCAATGACATAAGAACTATATATATTTTTTTTTACCATTTGATTGGCCAAGACTGATAAATTGCCAAGACTGAGAACGCGCAGTCCTAAAATGTCCTAAGTTATCAGGGTTTTTCTTTATATTCTTTATATATACGTATATATATATATATATATTTGCCACTAAGGTTGACTTAGGCACTTTAAACAGGAGCTGGATGACTTAGGCACTTTAAACAAAAGCAAGCTGGACAGAGATGGATTTTCATTTTGATGCCTTGTTTTATGCATGGTGCGCCTCATTACTCTTTACTTGCAAGGGAAGCCTGCCGACATTGAAAGTTGGCAGGCCCAGCTTACTGAATTGAAATCGTTTTTGTGAGCTATGGCTAAGACTGAGAGCGTGCGTTCCTAAGTCATCAGGGTTTCTGCTGAGAGTTTGGGAATAAGAACAGAGAGAGACAGAGAGAGAGAGAGATATATATATACATACATACATGCATACATACATACATATAAATAAATATACTACTGGCAGATGACTTAGACCCAAGAGAGTCCAATGACATAAGAACGACATCTTTTTTCACCATTTATGCGTTTGCAACCTTCTCGTTAATTTCAAGCGCCACAAGTTTTGACCACGGCTCAACAGCTCCACGGAGCATCTTTCACTGACATACCGGTGATTCATCTTGCTGGCTCAATAGGAGCTGGATGACTTAGACAGCTTTAACGGATTAAAAATTAAGGGGTGGCCTAAGTCATCATATTTCGATATCTTGGAAAGGGGATGGCGCACACATGTTTTCGCAGTCTCTTGAGGGTATCTTAATCCTATCTCTTCCGATGTTTTTTCGGGTGTCTTCCGGGTGTTCGGTGAACTGCGTGTCGTCAAGATTACATGACTTAGGTCACTTTCATACAGTTGTTCTTATGTCATTGGGCCCCCTTGGGCCTAAGTCATCTGCCTAGAATATAATTTCCTTAACTGGACTGGAATCCAGTTTGCTCATCCCACAGAAACTCACTTAGTTTCTGTGTTCCGAACGGTGTTGGTCAACGTGAACGTTGGCTCAAGCCTGCGAGAGCGCAAAGTGTGTGCGTGTGTCACCGGGAGACGGCCTAGGAGAGTCTGAGACTGCAGAAACGCGAAACTCTCACTCTACGTTTTGTTTTTGGTTTGAGTTTATTTTGAACGCGAGAGGTTTGAAAGCGGTTTTCGCGATCTAACTTTGTGTGTCAAAGTTTTACGGCTGTGCCATCACCACACCAAAAACCCCAATACTTCCACAGAATTCAGATCTGATGGCATCATTCTGCATGATACGATGCGCTGACCACAGTCGCAACCACAGCGGCGTCAGGGTACCAGGATTTTGATGGCCAGAAAGGTCCACATCTGACCCAGTTATATTCCATAACAGGACCTTCCGGGGTAGACCCAGGAGATAAGGCGGAGGTTTGACTGCCAAATTTCCTTCGATCATGCTAAGGAACAGTTTTTTTTTTTCTCTCTCTCTCTCCCTCTCTCTCTCTCTCTTTTTCTCTCTCTCTCTCTCTCTCCCTCTCTCTCTCTCTCTCCTTTGTCTCTCTCTCTCTCCTCTCCCTCCCTCCCTCCCTCTCTCTCTCTCTCTCTCGCTCTCTTTCTCTTTCTTTCTCTTTCTCTTTCTCTTTCTCTCTCTTTCTCTCTCTTTCTCTCTCTTTCTCTCTTTAATATGGCGGCAGATGTGAAGTTAGTTTCAGTTTTCAATGAGTCCTGCATCTCTACTAAGCGGAACCTATATTCACAACAATTAATGAGCATGTCATGAACCCAAAATTGTGGTGTCACCTTCGCAGAGTGGTTTCCTTCAATGCAAGGGGTGGTAATGTGGCAATTTGGTTGCAAAGGTACATGAAACAAGGAATTTTGTCAAGACCCGCAAGAACTCGACACACATCGTAAACTTTATGCTCAAGGCCAGGCAGAGAAACCCTTTCTTTGCCTGTGCAAAACCGTACCGTTTGGCATGCATAGCAAAAAATGATAGTGTCTTCAGTGTCTTTCATTTAGAACCCACAGCGCCGGAATGTCTGTTTGATTCTGTTCGACTATGTTTGACCATGTTTGATTTTTGCAAAAATTGTGATTATTCCGGATTTATGTGCTGCTCTCTCATGTAGTTCAATGCCATGAATTTTGCGTTTTTGCTGCCGTTGCTTTGGTATGGTCTACCGTGGCATGGTTGTCATCTTGCCAGAAGACGTGCTTGATATATGGATTAATTACGAAATTGAGCCCCACGCTGCTGTGACGTTACAAATGTGTTGTCAGATGAAAACCAGGTGATACAAGCCTGATAAGCGTTGAGCAGCTGGATACGGACACAGGAGTGGAAAATCGTGTGGATTCATTGGCGCCGTTGCTAATGGTTTCGGTGCGTGTTAGTGATGAAACATGATGAAACATTTGTGGCTGTCGAGTTGATGTATTTCAAATGCGATTAAAAGGACATGGTGACATGATTCATAGATTGACTGATTGACCTTTTCTCCTATTTGAATCCATTCTCGCTGCAGAGGCGTTGGCGACCATTGTGACACCAGGCTAATACTGCCATTTTGCACGAGTCTGTGTTGGAGGTGTCATCACCCATTATGTACCCCAAAATGAAGTGGTTGTTGGATAAAACATTGCCGAATTTGTGGATGGCGGAGATCTAAATTTTGACAAATACAATTGTTCAGATCATACAGTCAAATCTATACATGCAATGCATAATGAATATATTGTTTGGTTGTCTCTAAATTGCTTTGGACTTCAGTGTTTTTTTTGTCCGGTACAAAAGGTAAATTTGAAACCTTCAGCTTGATGCTTGCAACGTTGGCAGGCGATCTCCGAAGGGCTGTATCACTTTGTTGAATGGAGGCCCAACCGTTTTGTCGGGATGGTTCGACGTGAAACCAACATGCCAAAAACATTGCCGTTTTACAGTGATTTTTTTGAATAGCATGGTTCGCTTATTTTTGATTTCTGGGAACCTAATGTGAATGAGAGCACTTGCCGTTCGAATCTGATAATGGAATTCTTCAAGACGTGTTTTGCAGGTGAAACTTTAGGTCTGGTACAAGTGGGTTCACAGGCACGGGGTCGCTTTGCTTGCCATGATAAATTCAGAGGCCCCAACCAGTGTCTTCTTTGAATATCACTTCGCAGGCCATCAAGAGCCAGAACACAACCAAACTCTCTGCCAAGGCTCTGGTGTTTTGAAGATAGCTCTGTAACATTTGTCATTTTTTGTTTATATTGACCTTTCTGTTTTGTGATTTGTTTGGGATCAACATGCACAGAAAAAACAAAAAAATCTTGGGGAAAACTGGAAACCGGAGAGGATGCAGACGGACATGCGCGATATGCGCAACATGCGCGCACCGAAGTGGTGAAACATTTCGCGATTGTGCCTGCTACTCAACCTGTGGTGATCCCTGGTGATCCCTGGTGATCCCTGGTGATCCCTGGTGACCTCGAACCAAGGCAGACCGCCTCGCAAACCGCTGCAGCGATGTTCCTTGGGTTTTTCCATGGTGTCGGTGTCGTGCTGTTTTCCAATCTTTTCCAAGTGGCCGAGCAGTGTCTCACCATAAGGAAAGGCGTGCAAGACTTCAACGAGCCAAACTCAGTCTCAGCAGCTCAAAGTGCAGCCCAAAGTCATCAAGTCGAAACTGTGGAACGAGTTTGGTTACTAATCCTTGCATCTGTTTCTCCTTCTTTGTAGAGTCGAAGGATGGTGCGATCGTGTTTCTCAGCATGCTGTTCGTGCTGGTCCTCTACTTGGTGGTTTCTCCGGCTTGCTTTCTGAATTTCGAAGAAACGCTGGTGTGGGTGACACGGCTAGCCAGTTTTTTTCAGGATTCCTAGAAGTTCAAGAATTTGCAACAAAGTACACTGGTAGGCTTTGATTACTCGCAAACTTTGAATGTAAATTGGGTTCTTGGTAAACCGTGAGACATTTTGGAGACAGGAATGAACATGCAGTGTTCCTGTTGCAATTCTGTGGACCAGGCTGGCGCTCAATTGGGCTTTGGCTCCGAAGAGAGTGTGGATTCGCAGTGCCTTAGATCATTTGGATCTGGTAGAAACTGCCAGGGATTTGCAAGGATTTTTTTTGTGCCAAGGCTTCAAAATTTTTATCAAAGAACAACTTCCTGGGTGATGCCCAGAATGGAAGCCTGCGATCTCCTCAGTTCTGAACGGTCAATGGTCCTGGAAACCCAGGTGCCATTTAAGTTTTTCGAGATCTCCGATTTCTTTTCCGTAATCACTGATGAAGTCCAAACCACTTCTGTAGAAAATTGCATATTTGTTTTTTTTGTAACTGAGAAAGGTGCAGATTTCCTGGCATAATTTCCTGGTACAGGATGGAAGCTTGTGGGCATTTACATTCCCAACAGTTCAAGAGAACGCTGGGAGAACATCTTGGCCATTCAGATTCCCAATGACATGGTGGAAGCTGCTCATTGTCATACATGCTTATACCATCAATACCGGTATACGGTATACCTAGTTCTTGGACAAACCCTGACAAACCCATATCTCAAACAGTCTCTATGTTGTGTCAATGGGGTAGCTAATTTTCACCTTGGTCCTTTCCACGTTTTTTCGCCCTTGTGCTGAGTACAAGAGCTCCTTCCCTGCATCAGCAGCAACCTGGTAGCTAGCACCTCAGGGGGGAAAGGGGTTGAAACATGTTGAAACCACCAGGCGGCCAGGCGGAGTTGCCAGGACGGCCAGGGAATCCAAAGCATCGGCATCGTCGGCATCCCGTCTGATTTGGTGTTGACCGAGGGTCCAACGGCGGACATGCCTCTGCTAGTGCCCGTCAAAGCTTTGGAGGACCCAATTTTGGTGAAGTTATGGCACGGGAAATTTCTGAGAGCAGCTTTTGGGTCTTTGCCGCGGTTAGGGCAGTTGTAGAGGCAACAGTTTTTTGAAGGCGAGAATTTCCAAAGTTTCTTTAGACGGAAAGGTTCAATTTGGCATTTCAGGTTCCAAGTACAGAGACTAGTGCCAATGAAAGCTTGAGAGAGCTGCCAAGGGTTCAGAGTGGTTGCCCGAGAGCTTCCGACGCTGCCACCTCCAGACAGTTCTAAGTCAGAGCCCATCCTGAAACCATCAGGAGCGAGAGAAGTGCCAGAGGATGTTGAGCAACTTGAAAGGCCTTGACATAGCGGTCTTGTTGCCAAACACGTGAACATGGAGATGTGTACGATGCAAATTTTAATTCATACTCATCAGAGTCTTCAAGTCGACCATGAGCCTGACATTCCGTGGTTTCCTCATTTGGGTTTGTCTAAAAATGCTGTTCACCCAAATCCAATTGGTCTATCATCATTTCCATGAGTTGATGGCCTTCAATTGGAGTCCCATTCCCCGAATTCTTGGACAAACCCATATCTGGAAGATTGCAGAACATAAAGGTAAATGTATATCAATATCCCGTTAGTATCCAGCTGCTATCCCACTAATCCCCACCAATAATCCCCGTGTAGTCGGTTCTATCCATCTATCTATCGTTCGTTCGATCGATCTATCGCGATCTATCGCGATCGATCGATAAACAAATCGCTCCATCCATCCATCCATCCATCCATCTATATATCTATCTATCTACCTATCTATGTTTCTATCTATCTATTTCTATCTATCTTGTTTCTATCTATCTATGTTTCTATCAATCTATACACATTACTATTTTCCATATCCCATCTAGTCTCAGTGTCATATCATATTCTTGATGTCATATATGAAAAAAAACAACAAAACACATGTTGATGAAATATCCCATGAAACATCTTCATGAATAACATCCCCATTAAAATCATGGGAACCCCTATATGGATAGGATTTTCATGGGGATTTTTCCTTCATATTTGATGACTTTCCGTAGGTTGGGGGTCCCCTGCGTTGCCCGAAAATGTGGCCTGGCAATTTGACATCACCAGCAACTCGGATTCGCAGCGATGGGTCCTGTAGTGCTTCGACATGGCCCAGCATTTTCCCATGGGAAATCTTTTCAATGGGAAAATCATCTATAGATGGGTCAAAACCTATGAAAATACCATTTTTAGTGGGATGAACATCCATTTACCAGCTATTTTGGGTTTCACTAGGTACCAGGGTTTTGACCCATCCCCATCTATAGATGGATTTTCCATTGCAACGTTTGGTTACCGGAGCCTTTTTTTCCATGTGTGCAAGCTTGCAAATGAAACATCAATCCTCAAGCTCCTGATGCTTGAGAACGTCCTGAAGCTTGTCTCTGTTGTCCTTCAACGTGCCAGGAATAATCTTTACGGTTGGGGGTGTCCACTCTACTGCTCGCAGCCTAGTCTGTCCACTTTGCTGCTCACCTTCCTGCTTGGACTACTCCTTGGACTTTTCCTAGCATCTTTTGGACTATGGGCTCTTTGGACTTATCTCTCTTCAAGTCCGGTTCAGCCGGCTCCTCCCTCGCCTGGTCGTCACCCAGGTCCTCACCCTGATCGGTACTGAGCCTTAGCTGGGTACGGGGATGCCTCCTAGCTCCAACGGCGCCGGCACCGTTGAACTTGTGTGTACGGTCGGGGGCTTGCAGGTCACTATATCTGGGCCATCAACTTCTGCTGCTAACCTGCTTCAACAGACTCTGGACCTTGGCAGCGCTGCTCCTCGAGCCTCATCTCCTTCAGCAACAAAGTCTTCTTTGTCTTCTCGTGGTGACCCTGAGCACCAGAAGGGCTTGGAAAGCTGGCATTCGTTCTCCAAATCGCACTCCTCAGTTGGATCGTCCAAGGTGCTACGCAGTGGTCCGGGCCGCTGGAAATCTAACCCCGACCCTTTGCCGGTCCGCTGCTGGGACCTACTGGAGTCTTGTGGGTGACCTCACGGCTTCCAGCAGCACTAGCCACGGATTCCCATCGGGGTTGGAGCCAAAGGTGTGGGTTGCATGAATTTCACTGTGTTTCATTATCACAGCTGTTGACAGCCAAGCCTCCTGATGCCGAAGAGATCTGCAAATGGCTGGCAGGGATAGGACCGTTTCATCTCTGGGAAGGCTTATAGCCGCTTCGCTGAGATCATCAATGCAGTAACTGCCACGCGGCAAATGATACGAAAGCAGCTTGTCGGCGCCTGGGATTTAGCTCTTGCCTGGCTAGCAGAACCAAGCGAGCATCACCTTCTGGCGCTGCTCTCTGTAGCCCTCCTTTGGGGCTGGCCCCTTGAGGCAGCTGTGCTGGGCTTAGCCTGGAGTGGAATCCTTCGGATTGGAGAGGTGCTGATTTCCCAGCGCTGTGACTTGATCCTTCCATGCGACTCTGCTCCTGGAGTTGGTTTTGGCGTGTTGAGGATCCGAAGCCCCAAAACAAGGGGCCGTGCAGCGTGTCACCAAGCTGCAGGGATTGATCCTCGTTTATGCATCAGCTCCCCCAAACAGTTTGCTATGGCCATATTCAGCCGCCACGCTCCGAAAAAGATTTTGCAGTCTTTTAGAAGGAGTTAGCTTAGAGACAAAGCGGGTCGGTGGCAGACAGCCTTTTGACCTTGGTTCCTTGAGGCCTGGTGGAGCCACACACCTTTTTGGTGGCGACAGAAGACTCCGAGCTTGTCCGACGTTGCGGCAGGTGGGTGATGACAAATGCGAGCTGTTACCTTCAAAAGGTGCTCTATACTCTATACCACCTTTGCGGAGAAGCTGGACCATGCGATACGCGTCAAGATCTTGCAGCTGGCTGGAAATTTCACTCGACTGCTCACTGATGCACTTGGCTTCCTTAACTCTGCAATCCCCCACCGGTTTGGTGGATGGCTGAAGACTTGCCAGCTTTTGGGCAAAATATGGCTTGTTGGCGATGGAACCCCTCGAATGCAGTGAAAAGAAGTGGAGGGCCACATGCTTGTGTGCAAGCTTGCAAGTGAAACTTCAATCCTCAGGCTCCCCCTACCCAGATTGTACAAAACCTGCCCTCATCATGTTCCTGGTCTGGGCTGAAGACACTGGGCAAAATAGTCCTTGTTGGCTGAAGATGTGCCAACTTTTGGGCAAAATATGTTGTTGGCGATGGATCCCCTTGAATGCAGGGAAAAAGAAGTGGAGGGCCGCATGCTTATATATATATATATACAGATGCATGTAGTTACATACATACATACATACATACATACATACATACATACATACATACATACATATATATATATATATGTATACACATTAGTGCGAACATCGCACAGTGTTGGGTTATCTCAGAGTGCACAAAGGGGTTGGTTTGCCCCATTGCTCGAGCGGAAAAAACAACTTAGGTATCTGTGGGCAAAAGGTGCTGGCAGTGCAGCAGGTCAAGCTACAGGACGCGCCCGAAAATGCATATGTTTTTTGGTGAGATCCCATGATCCCATTGTATCCCCATGTGTAGATGATTTTCCCACGACATGTCCCATTGCTTTGATGATCAAATCCCCAAGCTTCCTATCTCCATGAATCCAATGTTATTCCCGGCATGAGAACCCCAAAACGATGCTAAAAAGTTGAAGACCCCCCCAAAAAAGTCCGGCCTCAATTTCATCATCGAACTACCATCCTGGAAACACGAATGACAACATCTTTTTGGAGGATTGCTATGTATATATATATTATGTATATCCGATGATCTTCCCAAGATATCCCCATTTGTAGATTGGTTGTATCCCTACATTTTTCAGTCCTTCGACAGACACCCATAAACATTGCTGGGCAAATACATCGATTGGCATTTATTAATTGGATCTTTCGAAGTGCCGTAAAAATATATACATATATAATAGTTATGTTCTTTCACTCAGTCACTCACTCACTCACTCACTCACTCACTCATTCATTCATTCATTCATTCAGTCAGTCAGTCAGTCAGTCAGTCGCTCACTCACTCACTCACTCACTCACTCATTCATTCATTCATTCATTCATTCATTCATTCATTTCGTCTTAATCTTGAAGCGTCGTTTGGGTGTGACGGCAGTCAGATGTTTCGTACTGCTGTCACGCCTGCTGTACATATTTTTCAAAACATAACGTGAATTGGTGGTGAAAATCTTAACGGCATTTCGTATGAACTTGGATCTCTCTGCAAAGGAAGTGTCATATTCTGTGGGATGCGCTGGTGCCGGGAGGCAGCTCAATCGTCCTATTCAAATTTCTGACTACTCCTGCTCTGGTACAGAAGTAATCATGAAGAATTTCTTTCACACGACGACGGTGGTTCCGTATGGGCCTTTGGGACAGGCCTTTCCTGGTACATGAGCACCCGAGCATATTTACAGACAAGGTTTTCTTTTTTATCGTTGTCGGAAACATGGTCACCTAGCCATGTGATGGCTTTGGTCCACAGCCGCATCTGCTGGCCAAGAGATGTATATCATCCAACATGTAGTATGGGTGAGGTCCCTCGGTTAGAAGTTGGTGTATAAGTCAATTAACTACAGTTATATTCCTCCATAAAACCCACAGTTGATCAAGTTATAAGTCGACTTAGCTATCGTTTGGGGGCCTCAACTTTCAATTATGATTAGATAGATGGATGGTAATCACTATGAAATATGACCACAGATGGCAATAGCTATTAGATACTAACTACTATTACTCCATTATTCGGTTTAAATCAGATTGATTGGGTGATTTTCCTAAACCCCCCAGTGCGGGGACTTCCCAGATTCACCTTGTATCCGATAACCATAGATGGCAATCACAAAGTCAATATTCGATAACCATAGATGGTAAAGACTACTAGATAATCACAATGATTACTCCATAATATTGGGGCAAAATCTCCATTTATAGATGATTTTCCCATTTTCTATCTATGTCAATGTCTATATCCTAGCCGTGTTTTTTTTTTAAATCTCTGCTTCATGCGCCCTGCGCCCCTATGCCCCTGCGCCAGGATGGACAGCTTGGCCCCATCCAGGTCTTAGGGCATCGGGGCAGCGGTCGGGGTGCGGCTCCCTAGCTGCAGCACGGTTTCGGGGCCTAGGAACAACAAAGCTAGTTTATAAACTTATAAACCACCTGGTTTGTTGATAAAAAGTTGCGCGCCAATATATACAGTATACATATAGATATTATATATACAGTATGCTTATATATATATACAGTATACATACACACATACATACATACATACATACATACATACATATATATATATATATACACAGTATATATATATATATATACATGTCCCTAAGTGTGTGACCGACCTTGACATGTGGCGCTCAAGGCTTCATGCTCGAGATCCCAGCCGTAGTGGAATTGGCTATTGGTGGCCTGAAATCCAACCTTTTTGGACTTGCTTGCCCCTTCTACTGCACTCCGCTTGGCTTGGGATCTTTGCTCTCTGCCTTCTTGCTCGGCCTGCTTGGTGGTTGTGGTCTTTGCGCCTTGGTCTTGATCAGGGGTGACCTTGTCCCTGTTCTGTGCCACCGGCCTTCCCCTCCACCTGCTCCCGTGCATCTGGCTCCATCCTCCGGGAATCCAAAATCTGTCTTGTTGGAATATCTGCATGAGCAGCAGCCATGGCGAAGGTATTGAAGTTTCAGTGGATTTGCCTGGCCTTCACGTGGTCATTTCTGGTTCTTCTCGTCGGGTGGCTGATTTCGTCCAGTTTGTGTCCACCTTTCCTGCTGAGCTGCCCCGTTCTCCGGCTCCTTCTGTTGGTTCCTTTGAGTTGCTGTCTGAGGTCCCTGAGCCGTCGATTATGCCTTCTCGGGTTGGGCTTGGACTTGAAACCCGAGATCAGATACTTGACAGTTTTCCTGCCTGTCCTCCTCGGTTTTTGGCTTTGGGAAACAAGTTATCCGGGGCCTCCTTGTCTGGCCGTGATCGGGCCTCTCGTGCTTGGGTTGCTGGACTTTGGGCAAAGGCAGTGGTGGATTCCCGCGTCCATTCTCCCAACCGGACGCCGCCCTTGGACCTTAGGTTGAGGTACTACGCTGTGGTTCGTGCTGACGGTGTTTCTTGTCCTGTGGTCTTCCGGTCTTCCTCGTCCTACTGGGCTGCCCTCGGCACTCTCGAGGGATCTTCCTCAGTGTCCCAGTCCTTTCCAAGCGAGACTGAAGCCAAGATCTACTTGCAAGCTGCTGGATTCGACGAAGATTCGATCTCCTTCTTGCCTTGATCCTAGGACTGATGGCTTTGGACTTGACAGCCGACGACAATTTATCTTTTCAGGGGCTGGTGACCATAGAAGAGCTGAAGCCATACGTGCTGGAATGGCCTTCCGTTCCTGATGCAGATGGACTTTCCGAAGCGATAGTTGTAGTGCTGCTGAAGCGCCAAGGTGGTTTTCTTCTTGGATTGCCTCCCGGTTTTGTTCCCGAGACTGTTCTGTCCCGTGCCAACCAAGGTCAAGATGCTGGTCCTATCGGAGCCTCCACGTCCGTCGTTGTGTCAGGTATGTTGGTAGATGGAGGTGTGCGGACCCTCACAGGTTCTCAGTTGGAGGTGGTTTTGGTCGATGTGTCGTCGGATCTGGTCTCTCAGATGCGTCTTGCTGTCGTGCCAGAAGAGATCGCTGTCCCCTTCGATCCCGAGAATCCTTTTGTCCTTCCCAGTCCAGTCATTGCTATGGCGATTGGATAAGAGGAGCAGGCGAGGAGACCGGCTTGACTTTCTACTCTGCGGACGGTCATCTGGAGGATGCGGAGGATGGATTGGACTCCCCAAGGATGCATCAGCCCCCAGTCACGGAGATCCAGAGGAACGCCAAAGCCAAATGCCACTCCTTCCGGAGGCGCAAAGAGTTACGACTGCATCCCTGGCAGCATCTCTTGACCAGTTGCTAGGGGTGGTGCCTGCCTTGACAACTCAGATCCAAGACTTGACAGAGAAACAGCAGCAACTGGAAAGCCGCTTGGTTGCTCCTTCCAGAGCGGGTGCCCTTGGACTTTCTCACCTCCTCTCAGCATCAATGCCTCCAGTGACTTCATCTCGGAGTGCCATCGCACAGGCAGTCGCTCCACCTCCACGCACGAGGGATTTGGGCCCCACGCCAACTCAGAAGGCTTTGACTTTCCAGCCTCCCGAGTTGGCCGCTCTAGAAGAGGACATCTGCTGGACTTCAGGACCCAGTCCCAAGCATTGACTGCCCTTGTGGGCCAGATCACCCAGTCCCAACAGGACCCCATGATGGACTTGAGCTCAGCCTCTTCGAGCTCCTCTACCAGGGCCACTCTGGGGCGGGCAATCAAGCGGAGTTGGCGACCCACTCCAGTCTGTCCTGAGGTCAACATCCCGACGCATGCAACCGACAGTCTCCGCCAATGCCACTCGGGAAGAGCTGTTGAGGTGGGGCGTGAAGGCGCGAGCCCTCGACAGACTGCTTTGCTGCCTGTTGACAAAGATTGTTGAGGGAGGGGCCTCCTGCAAAGTCAAGAGTGCAGCTAGGTCGAACCTCCCCCCGTCCATCACCGCCTGATCCAGGGCCACCACCAGTAGTGAGACCACATCCTGTGCTGCCCCAATGTTGTCCACCTGCAAGAAGTCCATGACACTCATGAGTTGATAAAGAAGCAACCCCAAGTCCCGGTGGCGGCCGAAACCCCCGAACCTCTCCATGCAGAGAGTTCTGCAAACCCCCCTGGCGGACCAGAGATGGGTCACCGTAGCTCTTGCCTACGTGAAGGAACTGGATGTCATAGCTACAAAGCGAATGGAGCTGTCAGGAGGAGGTCCCAGCAAAGCCTCGGCCTCAGCCGACGCGGCACCCAAGTCAAAACCTGCCGCCAAGAAGAAGGGAAAAGGGGGTGGGAAGCAGTTCCAGCAGTGCCCAGCAAACGAAGGAGAGGAGGAGTAGGATCATGCAGGTCTTCTCCAAAGAGCAAAGCCGTTTCACCTCCTGAGGGGCCCGAGCCAAACCCTCTTGAGGCTTCTATATACTATAGATTTTTCCACATGGGCCATTTGCTTGCCCAGATGGATCATGAGGTCGCGTTCTGATTTTGCATGGCACCTCAAAAGATCCTTCCGAAGTTTTTCCACGCTACAGTCGTCGTCGCTGTCTACCACTGTGTTCCCTCTCCCTTTGCCGAAGCTGCCTGCTTGCATCGGAGGTGGATACCCCAAGCTCTCTAGGAGGAGGCTGTCAAAGGCTATGCAGGGCTAGGCTTCTGCATGTGACCATTTTCACTTTGAATTTTGTGTATCTTGGTCGCTTCCCTACCTTGGAGGAACTTGGAAGGAGGCCTAGTTGTTCCCAGTCTCGTGTGATCGCATGGCTGAGGTCTCTTCCTCTGGCCCCAGGGAGATCCGGTCCTGAATTAGGTGCAAGTTTGTTCCAGCTTGAGGCGTTCATTGCCAAATGCCCTGACTTGAAGGACTCCTATCTTGAGAAGCCAAGGGAGTTCAAAGATGACCAGAGCCTGCTTCCAAGTGATGCTTACCCCCAGCTTGCCCCTTATCGGAGCCTTGATGCCAGTCGTTTGCGTCTTGTCGGTGAGGGTAAGTGGCCCATGCAAAAGTTCCTCCGTGGTTCCCTGTGGTTGCCCTTCCAAGAGCCTGCCTTCTTGAGACATGGACTTGAGGTTGATGAAACGTGTGCACCGTCTTTTGCACAAGAGTCGTGTGAGGAAAATGCAAAGCTCCTGAAGGTTTGGGATGCATGTGGACTTCTGGACCTTTTCCCAAGCCCTGTTGAGCCCGGCCTGTTCTGTCGTGTCTTCAATGCCTTCAAGACTACAGAGGTTGATCGGCAGATTGGTGATAGGATATGAGTGAAAGGAGTTTTGATGGGCCGTCCCATTTCCTGCCGCCTGGACATTTGTTGACCCAGTTGCATGTTAGGCGTTTCAAGCAGAAGCTCGTTGCATCCGTGACCGATAGGAGGGATGTCTACCACCAAGCTGCAGTGACCCCAGAAAGATCCCGGACCAATATGCTCCCTTTTAGTTTCAGCCCTGCCGAGGTTGACGGGTTGCTTGGTTTTCAGAGATATCGCCAGCCAGTCAGTTGCACGCCGGCAAGAGGCCGAGAGATAGAGGGTGACAAGCTTGGATTTGAAAAGCCTGCGAAAGCATCCAGCTATGAAAATAGCAAGGTTTTCCCGACTTTTTCCTCCCTCTTTCAAGGGGATCGCCTTGGTGTTGAGTTTGCCCTGACGCTTTTGGAAGATGCCGGACTGTTAGCGCATGATGAGCAAGTTCTAGGTCACCATGGTTTTCCAAAGGGTCCCCATTATAGTGGTTTGGTCATTGATGATTTCTTCTTCATTGGCCGTGAGCACGTTTACACCATGCCTTTGCAGACCGCAGCTGCCAAAGCCCTGTCTGAGGCCAGAAGGGTCTATGCTGCTGAGGGCCTTCTTGGCTCCGATGAGAAGGATGTTGTGTCTAGCTCCGTGTTCAAAGCCGCTGGTGCCGAAGTCAGCTCCAGCCCTTTTGCTGTGAAAGCCGGATGTGGAAGGAAAGAGACGTGTCATGGCCACCTTGTCCTTGCGTGCTGCGTGTCTTCCAGGGATCACACCGACTCTTGCCTCTCGTCTTGCTGGGAGTTGGACTTCCTACCTGATGTTTAGGCGATGCCTCTGTTCCGTTGTTGATGGGCTGTCGGTTGTGAGCAGGAGTCTCAGCAGGTTGTCTTGCCTTTGCCCAGAAGCATCTGTCGTGAGTTAGTCGTTTTGGCTGCCTTGTCACCACTTATGTGCGCTGTGTCCTAGCCTATCTTGGTCAAGCCTTTGCAACAGACGCTGTCCAAGGGAGCCATCGTCACAGCCGACATCGAGCCTGAGGTTTGTGAGTCCGTTTGGCTGGCCTCCGAGAAGAAAGGGCGAGGACGTTCATGAGGATGCCCCTGAGCCCATTCCTGTCAAGCCGAAAGCCTCGCCCTTGTTGTACTTTGACTTTCTTGAGATCTGCGGTGGGGTTGGAGCGGTCTCAGCCGCTGCATCGGAAATTAGACTCTCCGTCGCTCCTCCCCTTGACCTTTCCGCCCCTCAGCATTATGATCTCACTGACCTTCGGCTTCTTGAGTGGGTGATTTACATGATCTCTGAGAGACGTTTCTTGTCCTTTTTGGTTGAGCCACCCTGAACGACCTTCTCTCCGGCTGCTCATCCCTGTCTGAGGTCCTACAAGTGCCCCTATGGATTTGACCGTGAAAACCCTCGCGTGCTGCATGGGAATTGCCTGGCTTTCCGTAGCTTGCTTCTCCTCCGTGTCGGTAGGAGGCACGCATGTCCTTGCGGGCTTGAACAGCCTCGGCGTTCGAAGATGGCATGGCTGCGTGAGTGGATTTCTCTGCTTGAATCAGAAGGGTTTGCTGAGGCCGTCCTACCTGCTTGTGGCCAGAAGGAGTTCCGTTTCCTTCTCTATGGACTTTTAGTTCAGGAGGTTGAGAGGCATTGCACCAGGGATCACTCACATGTCAGGATCCAGGGAAAGTACACCAAAGACTCTGCGATATACTTTCCTGCTACGGGGATGCATTTGGCCCTTGCTCTCAAGAATGCATTCCGCCGAGCTGCTGGAGCCAGAGACCCGGAATGGACGCTCACTGAACTTGAATCTGTGGTTTCCAATGACCTTGTGCAGACCTCTCGTGTCTGCCTGGTCTTGGAAGAGGTCCCCACATATCAATGTGCTTGAGGTCTCTTCTGCTGTTCAGGTCTTGTCAAAGATTGGTGACTCATGTCCCCATTCTCGGTTCCTGTCCTTTGTTGACTCAGCTGTTGCAAGAGGTGCACTCGCCAAGGGTCGTTCCACTTCTCTCCTCCTCCAGCCCTTGATCCGTCGTGCCGCTGTGCTCCAGATTGCTTTTGACTTGTACCCTGTTTGGCCTTTCTGTCCTACCCGGCTGAATGTTGCTGATGACCCTACAAGGGACTGCCCTATCCGGTCGCCTGTCGGAGGGAGCATTCTTAAAGCTGTGACTGGATTGGCCTTAGCTCGCTTCACCGCACTGGACTTAAGCGGAGTGCTGCCAATTGGGTGCGTCTGTTGATTCTCGCTGTCCTTGCGAACGTTGTCGATGCTGCGGGAGCCTCAGATCTCGTCGGGGTCGTCAGTGGATTTTGGTCTGTCTTGGCAAGTCTCTGCATTGCATCCCTGTCCCTGCTTTGGATCTTCACTGTCACTGCTGTTCTGCGAAAAGCTACCCGTCGCGCCAAGTGGATGCAGTTCCTTTGGATTTTCTTTGTCTCCTCAGGCCATTCAGGCCACCTTCACGACCGTTTTAGTTTAGGTTTCGGGGTAGGAGTTCATGCCATGGTCCCTTTGACTGCCGCTGAACGGAGAAGAGCTGAGGCGCGTTCAGGTCTTTTGCCCACTGGAGATCGTGTAGCCCTGGATGCAACCAGAAACCGGAGGAAGCGGCTTTTCCTTCAGTTTCAAACATGGCTTTGGAAGGAGAAAGGGGTTTCGCTGCTCTTCCTCCTGCGACAGAAGCCTGCTTAGCCGGAAGTCATCGCGAGTTGGCTGGTCGCTTACGGCCAGGAGCTTTACAGATCTGGAAAAGCGTATGGGATTTACGCTGAGACGGTGAACAGCGTTGCGTCGGCGCGCCCTCAGATTCGAAAGCAACTGACCTTGGCGTGGGACTATGCCTACTCCTGGATCAGCGATGAGCCTTTTGGGCACCACCCAGCTTTGCCTGCTTCGGTCCTTTTGGCGCTGGTGTCCATCGCCATCTTGTGGGGATGGGCGACAGAAGCAGCTGTTTTTGGCCTTGCCTGGAGCGGAATACTTAGGATAGGCGAAGTCCTACAGGCGACCAGAGCTGACTTGATTTTGCCTCGGGACGCAGTTCCGGGGACTAACTATGTCTTGTTGAAGATCAAGGAGCCAAAGACGAGAGGGAAGCACGCAAGACACCAGCTGCACGTGTTGATCCTTGCGACATTGTGCAGTTGTTGGACATTGCTTTTGCAAAGCGTGGCCCGCATGAGAAGTTATGGCCCCTTTCATCTGCAACACTTAGACGAAGGTTTGGAGATCTGATGAAAGCTTTGAAGTTGCCCGATGCGACAAATGGTAGGTTCAAACCCTTTGACCTTTCATCTTTTCGTCCGGGCGGTGCTTCCCACCTCCTGAACAGCTGCGAGGATTCAGAAGATGTCAGAAGGAGGGGACGTTGGGCAACGACCTGTACAGTGGAAATTTATTTGCAGGAGGTTTTGTATGTCACCTATATGGAGAATTTGCCCAAGGCCTCAAAGGAGATCATCGGCCTAGCTGCTTCGGGGTTCCCAGACCTTTTGCAGAAGGCGAAGAGTTTTTCTGAGGCGAACATCCCGTGTTCGTCTTGGTATCACTTGCTGAAAGGTAGACTGGCGACAATGGGGGCCAATGGTAGAACAAGTGCTGCTTTTGGTGCAACAAGTGACACTGCAGCATAGACTCAAACCAGCCGCGTGGAAAAGAGAAGGATGCAAACATATATATATATACACGCACACACACACATATATATATATATTTGTATATATGTAATTTGTATATATGTATATATGTAGATATGTAGATATGTATATATGTAAATATGTACATATGTAAGTATGTACATATGTACACCTAAGTATATATATACACATATACATGTATAAATATTATATATGTATATATTTATTTCTATATCAGCATAAATATGAATTACATAAACATATGTACATACATATATACATTGACATATTAGCAGCAACGTATAAACATACATAGATATACATCTCCTGGAGTAGGTAGAAAATGGACAGTTGAATTTAGTCTTGACTAAAATGAGATGAATTTTGAACACGACCAGTTTCTACCTACTTCAGGACGATTATATGTGTGGAGTAAAAAACATCCTAGTTAATGACCTGGGGCACCACCCTGTAGATTTTAGGGGTATATATACATATTGTTTGCCACAGTTTTCAAACATCATACTTGGGCCAACATTTTTGAAGCGGCACATTTTGGGTTGAAACCATCGAACAGTAAATCGGATTGTCGGACAATTATTGGAAATCCCCAACCAACTTTTAGAACCTCCCGATTTTTTGCTTTGAGGATAAACAGTACCACTTTTTTGAACACGGAGGGTGATACCAACTATAGTTCACATACTTACCCCTCCTTGTAAACTAATATAGATGTGGAGAACCCAATATGTGTAAATCATTTTCCATGGGTTTCACCATTCCTTTCCCACATCTATGATAGTTTACCCCAGGGTAACCTGCTTTCGGGTCGGCCACGTCGGCCACGTTCCGAGGCAAGTGCCTGGGCTCCATTGATCGGAAACTCCAGCTGGTCTCGGGAGTGGGTGAAGACTTTGGGCGCTTGGCCCTATCCACAGAGCTGGAGGACATGGCTGGTTTCATTAAACCAGGTGGGAACTAGGTAACTAGGCCAAAAAAAAGTGGTTTCATGAAATGAATCTTGCCATAGTCACCAAGCACTCGACATTTCCGAGGTCCGGAAGCAGTCTGGTGCGTACGAGTTGAAGGAGTCGGCGACTGGCAGGCCATGAGATGCTGGTCCTGCAAATGCCAGTTACAACCCCTTCACAGACCGAGCAAAGATCTAGTGTTCAAAAGTTTCATCAAATCATAGCAGGGAAAAATTGAAAATTTAGTGATCTAGTCCGCGACGCAAACCTGAGGAAATGTGAGAAAAACGGATATTTTTTTTGTTTTGGGGCTTGATTTGGTCGTCTGTTTAGTCCTGTTTCCATACTGGGGATATCCAGGAATTTCCAGGATGCCAGTGGGCCGCAGGCACAGATGGTTGGTGCAGGCCAACATGCATTTCCCTGGCCATGAATACTTCACCGTGACGTGGAGGCCCATCTTTTTCCGATGATCTGCTTGAGGTGGCTTGATGACGGTTGATGAGTCACTGAAAGTGTGTTTCTTTAGACGCACTTTCTGTATATTCACTATATGCATGTTTTTATACATGCTCTCCTCCAAACCGATAGACAAAAAACATACAGTAGCCCTATTTCAGCAGGATTTTACCAACGTTTTTTTTTTTGATTACTGTAATATATTCAAAACTTTATCTGACAAATCCCATCCCCCTTCACACTCAACACCCCGTAGAAACCATGGTTTAGTAGGGGGATTTACACATATTTGGGACCATACAGCTATAGACTATAGATTATTGATACCTTAGGGTGCATGTGGAAACTCCATGGTTTTTTGTAGGAAAATGATCTACAAAACGCGGGTAAAACCCACATGTATGGTAATTTACAAGAGGATACCAACTTGCACGAGGCCGCGACGCCGACTTCTGGCCACTTTGAATCGCGGCCAGGGGGGCCATGCGGACTACATGAAGGCATCGCATGGGGTGGTCCTGGTGCTCCGCATGGTGGCATTGAATCTGCTGAATGAGAATTGAACAGGATACTAAATGTGGATGCTTACCTAACAATATGACATTTGGGTGTGCCTGAAAATGGGGGATTTAGCAGCAATTGATTGCCACTTTAGCGGGACATGATGATTCACGGATTTGGGGACCCACCGCAGGTGATGCCAACACCGGGGGTTGCTTGACCCTCAGATTGGCGCTCGAAGCGCTCGAAGCGCAACGAGCCTTCTGTCAGGTCAGGTCAGAGGGAGAGCGGCTAAGGATGTGGTGTTGGTGATCCTATGCTGTGTAGGCCTCTTTGTCTTCAGGCGTTGGGAACCTTGCCTCGTGCATTGAAAGTTACTTCCCAAAAAAGGTGGCTGATCCCCTCAGACATTCAGATAAGGCTTACTCAATCGCCTGTGCAGGATAGATGACCAGGCGCCCAGCCGTTTTCTGGGTGGCTGGAAGGGCGAGGCAATGGCTTTCCCAGTTGCTGGAAGGGCAGGCATTGCACATCCTAACCGTCCTAACCCTTTGTGCCTTTTTTTTATTACCTTAAGTTGTTTTTCTTCCCATACGGCGATACGGCAGCAGTGTGCGGATGTTGGGGCCATAATTTTCTTGCAACTTTGGAGATGAGCGCCGTTTCATGATGTTCCATGTACCTATGGCTTAAATCATGTGCAATGCCATTCTTTTGCTGCCCACATTGTTCTGTGCCCCAGATTTGGATGGGGCAAAATGAAACCGGAAGGGTACATTGCCTGAAAATACAAAATCTCACGGCCAGCCAATCATAGTTTTTGCCGCAAACTTTTGACATTTTTTGACAGACCCATATCATATCATATTGTTGGCTACACATCGCATGATATCTCCATGATATTTCCATGTTGTCCAATTTGTGCGATATATCATAGACAATTTATATGAATTTACAAAACATACATATGTAATCATGTGTATATATATATATATTTATCGTGCCCTGTTCTTGCCAAAAAGAACACAGATGCATGGTGCTGCACTTGAGGTGGAAGGACAATCCATGGAGGAAGACCCAGAAGCTGCAGGATCCGGTTTCGCAGGACTGGTGGAGGGAGCGGAGGGAGCGGAGGGACCGGAGGGAGCCAAGGAGATATGGCATATTATGGGGATGGGGGGATGGGAAAATCAATCCATTTTGGGCAACCAGAGCTAGAATGCTAGAAGTTGAGTTTCCTAACCACATGATAGTTGAGTTGTGGTTGTGTCAGTTTTGCCAATGGCTTCATGTCGGGCCCAAGGATCCAAAGGTGTTGGGGGATATGAAATGCCTCATGGGTATTACCCTTTGGTAATTAAACATCGCTATGGAAAATTCTTCATTTTGTTCGATGATTATGGACAATGGTGATTTTACAGTTCGCAACCTGTCAAATGACCAGAGGGTATATAGCACATTTCATCATATTTCAGTTTCCCTGGTAAAATTGGGCTTGAGGTCTCCAAGATCAATGGCAAGTCCACCAGGAAATCTCCTGCAGAATGCAGACGGCGCGGATGATTGACGAAAAGAAAAGAGAGTGGATGCGTCACGGGGAGACGGGGGACATGAGAGAGCTTTGGCTCATGGACAACCCAACATCATTAGCCATTTTATATTTATGTTGGACATTCTTTTTTCTCCATATTTTTTGTTTTACAAAAAAAGTCGGATTGTATTATGATATTATGATGTATTGTGCAGTTGATTATGAAGACAGTCCTTTTTCCTGGCGAAAAACAACGATGACCTTTGCGAAATCTCAAGCCAAAGCTGCGGCCATGACGCGTCATGGGCGACGAGGTGGGCGTTGTGGGATTCTGGTACTAGTATGGGCTGGGATGTGAAGCTAGCAGTTTATGTTGGTATCATGGCACGTGGATATTTAATGGGATATTATATAAGTTGTTTTTCTTGGATAGTCCAGAAACTGGGTCCAACAAAAAAAATACGAGCAGTATAGTTATTTTTGATGGAGAAAATAAGGAGAACAAACCCACTGATGTTGTGGGAATCCCAAGTCTCTCAACCCCCCCCAGTTATTTCTCACCCGATTTGTAGATCTATTTTCGGAGCCAATGAACATCAACGCCAGGGCAATGTTCGTTTGGTGCCTGCGGCAGAAAGTTCCGCGCATCCGCTTCTTGACCGTGGGCCGAAGACTTGGAGATTCGATCCGGGTCGGCATCAAAGCGCGACTCCCGTACTCCCGTTGCCTGCTTGGCTCAGGTCGTCGAGCAGTTCCGCGGTGGACGATGGCAAAGGAGGCATTTCGGAGGGGGGATTGGTGAAATCACCATTTCTGGTTGTTCACCCTCATTTTTGCCATAAACTGAATACCGCTCATTTACTTGTTGGAAAGATGATAAAGATGTGAAGCATCAACAAGACACCTATCCAGGATTTTTTTGATCTTTGTTCAAACTATTTTGTACCCTCTGGTAATTTAGCATAGCTATAGACAATCACCATTTTAAATTCTTTTTTTTTGATAGGTAAATCATTGATCGAAATGAGCCATCCATAGCAAAGGGTGAAATTACTGGATTGGGGGTAACACATTCCATTCATATTATTCATATTTGCTGAATCTCCCATGAACTCATTAGGTTCCCATGAATTTTCATGTCCTCAACCAAACCACCCAGCTGAGGAGATGGCGAGGCCTATGGCGATTTGAGTGATGTTCCTCCGCAACGCCTAAAGGAGGTGCCGAGGATGATCTGGGGATTGGATAGGAGATTTTTGTTGGGGAAATCACCTGTAAAAATGGTGATTTCAGGGCAGAACATGGGAACCTCATCTGGATTTGGTTGGATTTTAAGGGGATTTCATGGTAATGTTTAGATGGGACAAGACTAGCAAGATGAGAATTGGATGTGTCCAAGAATTGGGATTTAATACCCTCAAAGATTTGCAATTTTAGATGAGGAAAAATAATGATAGACCAGTGGATAGACCAGTGGATAGACCAGTGGATTGGGGGATATCCTTTTTTCAGATAAACCCAATTGAAAGCTTGTAAGTAAATACCTGCAGTGACACCAGAGATCCAAATTCATTTATTTTTTGTTTTAGTAGATTGTGATGGTTTTGAACATGGATCCAGAGATATGGTGATGGAAACGCAAATGGTTCACAATCTCAATTTCTCCAGCACTTGATTTCCCTTAATTCTCGGACGCAGGGGAAATTGTCCATCCCCAATGGAATACCCTATGAATATCCCACCAATTCTAGGGCTTCGCACACCGGCGATGCCCCAAGGGTTGTTGGTGTTGACTAGAATGTCGCTCGCTTGCTCTGTTTCTGTTTCTGTTTCTGTTGTTGTTGTTGTTGTGTTTTTTTTTTTTCTCACAACTCGTTAAGAATTTCAGCATTGGTCATATCAGTCATATCCGATTATTCCCAACAGCGACTGTTGTGCTGTTGGGTTTCAATCTCTGGGTCTGGGAGCGGTGCGTTTGCCAAGCCCAAAAGCCGGAACGGACCTGCACCGCTGCCCTGGAACCTGCTGTCGGGTTGCAAAGCTGGGTTATTTTTTAAATAACTATATGATTATATGATGGTAGTATCTCCAGATCATGTTGGTTATATTATATATATGTATTATATATATATATGTATATATATATAATGTCCATTACATATGTAAATATATGTAAATATCTCATGGTATCCCCATGAATATCGACCATTTCTGGGCCCAGCAAAAGGTGAAGGCCGTCATCAAGAGTACTCGTGACCTCTGGCGGAAGGGGAGTGGTGTCCCCGGTGACCCCTGGTTTCGTCTTGGAATCGTTGGAGTCACCATAGAAATTGGCCATCAAATTGGCCCAAAAGCCAAATAAGATCCATAAGAAACCGAGTTTTCTTGGCTTCGCAAGTCAGGTGATTTTTCATGGTCCATGTGCTGAAATGGGGTCTCAGGTGTGGGCGGCGTCAGTCATCTTCGAGAATGGACTTTGGGCTGCACGTTTTTTCTGTAGGGATGGGGGGATTACCAACAAAACATGGTCTTTTGTCAAGAAAATTATGTGGGTTTAGCAACGAACACAGGAATTAAACAACACAACATCTGAGATTTTGCCAACATGTGGACTTGGGACGACATCCTCTTGGAATGTCCGTCCGGATCGGACCTGGCAGCTATAAAGCCACTATGTTTCGATGGTCCATCCCATGGTCGCGCCAGGATCGATACCCTTCAGAGACTCTCAGGTCTTTCTCGGCAGGCGCCTGGCCGACCTGGCCGACCTGGCAGTCATCCCATGTGATCCCCAGATGGAAAACGATGGACTCCCGTGAATCCCTCGGAATTTGATGATTTACGGGATTCCATATGATTCCATGTTTTTGGGGATGGCTTTAGTTTTGTACCTTAATTGACTTCACAAAGACAAAGATGACCTGTGATAATTCGTAATCTAAGTACAGAAGTCTTCTAGGTAATGCAGGGAAAAGATCACCATCCATTTCCATCATGGCAACTCCGTTCCGTCTGCCTGAAGGAGTCGTAGTGGCTCAAAACGTTTAAAGTTCTGCATTTTCGCTGCAAATTTCTCAAGGGCTCTTGACCCGAGATCTTGGTCGGCACCTCAGGTCGCTGTCTTTTAGTACTGTGAAGTTTCAATAGTTTCAATCCAAGTCCTCCTGACCTCATCCTGGGATCCGAAATTGGGCGATTTCGAGAAGCAGAGTGGTCTGAGGCTTGATTTCCCGTGTGCTGCCAAAATCAGCATGACTGGTCCGATGAAGCCAGGCACAACACAAATGCCGGTGCTGCCAGGGCGGACGTTGTTGTGAAGTGAACATCTGCAACCCCCAAAAACACGACAACACCCCATATTCGGAGGCAAAAGCTCATGATTTTCTGTCTGGAGTGGGTCAGAACATTTACCCAAAATCATCGGTAGGAACATTCCCCCTCTGCCAGGTCTCGTTGTGAAGCATCATGAAGATGCCTCCACAGATATCTCCTCAGACGAGGCACGTCGGTCCCCTTGGAATTTCTAGTTTTTGTCATGTTTTTTCGTTTTTTTTTTTTTGGGTGGGACCTTCCCAGCGATCTTCCATTTTTTGGTTTCACTACTTGAAAAGAACCTGAAATGGAGGTTATATAGATAGTGGTTCACCTCAAACACTTTTTTTTTGGGTAGTGGACAGGATTATATATAGTGAACCTTGCGTTTCTTTGCCTGATAACTTCTTGCGGGTGAGCCCATTCATCAACTATCAATACCGGGTTGACGACATCCTGTCAGAGAGTTTGGAGGCTTGATAGCAAGCACGGCAAGCACGGCAAGCACGGCAAGCACGGCAAGCGGGGACATGCCAAAAAGACCCCGGAAAGCTGGCAGATAGGTCAACATCCCAACAGTTCCAACATCCAAACAGGATCTGATCGACTTAAAAAGGATGCGACGTGGCCAGGTCGTCGCAACTTCGCCGGACATTCTGAAACCTCGGAACAAAGGCGCGGCACAGTGGACAGTTTGGCCGGGCTACCCTCTGGCCAAACATGGCTGGAAAATCCCACAATTAGCCGATGATTTTCGCATATTTTCCTGGTAAATCACCACTAAATCACCATCAACTGCCAGTTCTTGGGGATTTCCCAGCTGGGAATATCACCTGCTTTTGTAGCCAGGCAACAAGCTGGTTCCGACGGTGGAAGTTTCTCCGGCCACGAAAGCACCACGTCAGTCTCGCAGGCGCAAGAAGGAACAGAAGGAGCGACGTCACCGACTGTCTCGACTCGAAGCCATTCGATTTTGCCGTCGTAGTCCCTCAACCTACCACTTTTTGGGACACTCCCGGTTAGCGGTGTAGGATGGTGTAGGTATATTTCCCTACATCCCCTTGTGTAGATGGGTTGTGTCCCTTCATTGTGAAAATTTTGTTGTTTTGCACAGGAGGTGAGCAGTCTTCGCAGCGAACTTCGTGCGAAGGGAAACGAGGCCTTTTCAAAGGGGGGAGCAACAACTCTGATGGGTGTAAAGTAAAAAAATCCTCCTCCAATGGGACATTTGGGACGGAAACTGGAAGACCAACAAACAAGGATCAACAAAAGGCAAGAAAATGGCTGTATAGACGTCTCTGTCCAAAATGTGGGGGGCACCAATCAGGCCAATTTCTCAGTCTGAAAATAAAGCAAGAAATCATATTTTTTTGGAAACACCTCTGTTCTTTTTGCTCTGCATACAGCAAAAGGCGGGAAGCTTGTAGTCACCGTCTTCGAAAGATCAAATTTCGAAACTCGCGAGTTTCGTCCAGAGAAAAGGAGGAAGTTGTTGGTGGTTTCTTGTGACTTTCGGATTTGGGGTTTCTTCCTCTCAGAGTTTCGTGTGGCATGGCAGGTTATGAGCGAAGTTGCCCAGTGCTCGAAGGTGAGAGCTTCCGTGGTTCCTTTACCGGCCTTTTCTACTCTCTTTTTCTGCACAGAAATCAAGAAGTGCTCAGGGGTTCAGGATTATTATGATTATATTTCAATATATTTGGGACTTCTTTTCCAGATTGCTCAAATGTTTCTTAACAAGATCATGAACGGGCTGATTGCGTCGCAGAAGCAAATGGTTCTGCATGCCTTCAGGCTTCACAAGCCAAGAAAGAAGACAAAATGGACAGGTGAGGATAAGTGAAGTGCCCGGTGTTTGCTTTTTGTTTAACTACTTAATTGATATGCATAGATATGCTTGTTGTTTGGGTATGGATATACCCAGTCAGGAGAACCCCCAAAAATGCCACAGCAAAGGGAGGATTAATCTGTAACGTGACAATTTTGGGGACTATCCCAAAATCTCATTGTTGATTATCATTTCGCATAATTTATGGCTAGAAAATGACACATATCTGATAGACGTTTGGATATTTCCCACATTTTCCCAGTACCAGTGGATGATACATCCCATTATCCCACATCCGATGAATCCTGGCTTTGTCCAAAACGAGGGTGCACCAAAATTTGATGCAAAAACACCTCAGTTTCCAGAGAATTTCAGCATGGCCATCTGATGGCTATGACACCAGGGATCTAGTCGTCAGGATCAGCTTACCTCCCGGACTTGCACCCTTGCCAGAGAAGCCCCTTACAGAGGCGCGGTAAGGAACTGGCAAGAAAGGGGGATTTAATGTGGATTTAACAAACTAATGGATATATATATATATATACACATATATATATGTCTGTATATGTATATGTATCTGTATATGTATCTGTATCTGTATATGTATTATATGTATATGTATAGGCATTTGGGACAAGCTTTAGCTTGCCACTTTTCAGCTTCGCGCTGTTTCGCTGCTCCCCCCTCGTGCGTTTTACTTGCCATTGCAATGGACTATTTGAACGTCCTGATTGCGACAATGAGTTCCCTCTCCAACAGATTGGTTCAAAAATTTGTGCCACTATTCTTCGCTGGCCTTGCTGCAGGGTGGCTCCTGACTACGTACAGTTCAATTCGCATCATCCCGCGAGAAGTATTTCTACGACTTCATGTCCCTGGCCTAGCTGCAGGGTGGCTCTGGCCATGAAATTGGCCACATTCGCCTACATCAACAACTTCCTTAGCCACCTGAGCGTTTGTGTGACCTTTTTCACCGACTTGGCCAATGTGCCATCCTCACGGTTCCGTGTATCTGCGAATTGTTTCACCATAAATTTGCCAAAGTGCACGCGGTACGGTTGCTTGTATCTAACACCACCCGTTTCCTTCATCTTCTATTACCAATTGCAGAAAATCACGAGCAGTGGACTTGTTTAACCCCAAAATTGCAATAAGTAACCATCTAAGGGCGTGCTGCTGCGGACACGTGGCTCAATATGAGCTGCATATCGCTTCTGAACAAATATGTATATGTATATGTAATATGTATATGTACATGGAAATGCACATGTTTAATATATATATACATATCATGGAGATCAGAAGATTCTTGGGAGATGTTTACAGTAGTAACTGCCATGGATTATTCTTGGCAAAAGTCTTCTGTAAATGGAAATATTGGATCTTCGGTTTGCCTTGAAATGGGGGGAGGCCTCAAAAAATGCCATGGTTTTCATGTGGAACATGATGGCAAGTCATCAAAATTAGGGGGTACTCATTTTCAGACCCACCTGTCCTATCAAGTAGTTTGATTTTTCCCGATCTCTTGATTGGATCCAAATGTTCCAAATGATATTGTCCTGGATTTGCAGATGTTTTGTTTTTCTTTTCCAGTGGTTAAGCCACCAGAAATGGTTAATCACGGGATTTTCGAGATTATTTTTGGGCCTCTTAAGCAAATCCAAGTCGTGGCGAGATGCTTGTCGAATGAAACACCCCCTTCTATGGTCCCAAGTATCTGATTTCATCCCCTACCAAGCCAATCATTCCTGGGGTGTTTAACATTATCGAAGGAAGTTTAGAAGTCAAACTTCCGACAATATGGACAGATGAAAAGCAGAGATGGGAAGAGTCAGAAGAGAAAAGAAGAAAGAAGATCAAAAAAGAGAAAGTCTCAGAAGAAAGAAGACCCAGGTGTGCGAAAAGGTAGGAAAGTCGCGAAACACTAAAAACTGACAGGTTCGGAGCACTTTTGGACGTTCAGATGTCGTTTCGCGTGGCAGGCGCAAGGGATCGTGCACCTTGTCAAAAGTAAGCAAAACGTGAGGGTTTCGTAGCATTTCCAAAAACGATGGCAGGCGTGGGACATTTGCAGAGGAGTGCAAAGATGCATTTTCCGTGGCAGGCGCAATACAAGAGACATGTTCATCAGAGATGTTAGGAGGTCAGGGCGCTGATTTCCTGAGAGGGGTTGCATGTTGGAGCATCAGATCTTCAGTTTTGGGAAGATGATTTTGCGTGCCAGGTGCAGCACTTCGTATGACCTGGCATCACTTTTTCGTGGCAAGCGCAGTACTACTTTAGACAGGTGGAGTGCAAAAATCGCAAAACGCATTGGTACGAGAGCGTCAGCTCTGCACTCAACTTTCCATTTTTGAAGGAAGTCTCGCAGAATTGTTTCATTTTTGATGTTACCAACTCCGAAAATTGAGGAAGTCTCGCAGAATTGTTTCGTTTTGGATGTTGTCAAGGTCAAAAAAAGGAAGTCTTGCAGAATTGCTGCGTTTTTGATGTTGCCAAGTTCAAAAACTGAGGAAGTCTCGCAGCATAGCTTCGTTTTCCAGCTTGCAGGTAGATGATAGAGAGATAGATAGACACACAGACAGACAGATTAGATAGATAGATAGATAGAATAGAATAGAATAGAATAGATAGATAGATGGATAGATAGATAGGTAGATAGATAGACAGACAAGACAGACAGACAGACAGACAGACAGCCAGCCAGCCAGCCAGCCAGCCAGCCAGACAGACAGACAGACAGACAGACAGGATAGATAGATAGATAGGTAGGTAGGTAGGTAGGTAGGTAGGTAGGTAGGTAGATAGATAGATAGATAGATTAGACAGACAGGCAGACAGATAGATAGATGGAAAGAAAGAAAGAAATAAAGAAAGAAAGAAAGAAAGATAGATAGATAGATAGATAGAATAGATAGATAGAAAATAGAATAGATTAGAATGATTAGATTAGATTAGATTAGATGGATAGACAGATAGATAGATAGGTAGATAGATAGATAGATAGATAGATAGATTGGTTAAGACAGACAGACAGACAGACAGACAGACAGACAGACAGACAGACAGACAAATAGATGGAAAGAAAGAAAGAAAGAAAGGAAAGAAAGAAAGAAAGACAGATAGATAGATAGATAGAGACATAGATAGACAATTACAACTACAACAACTACAACAACAACAACAACAACTACAACTACAACTACAACAACTACAACAACTACAACAACTAGAACAACTACAACAACTACAACCACCACTACACTACACTACACTGCACTGCACTGCACTGCACTGCACTGCACTATACACACTACACACTACACACTACACACTACACTATACACTACACACTGCACACTGCACACTAATGACTGCACACTGCACACTGATCTGCACTGCACTGCACTACACTACACGACACTACACTACTGCTACGCCTACAAATACAAATATACTACGCTACATTTCGCTACACTAATTACACTACACTACGCTAATTACATCTAATTACGCTACACCACACCAACTACACTAACAACTAAACAAGAACAGCAGCAACTACTACCCCAGCAGCAACTACAGTTACAACTACTCTAAACTACACTAATTACACTGCAGCACACTACAATTACAAATACAACTACAACCACACTACATTACACAGCACTACGCTGCTCTGGAACCACAACCACAATCACAACCACAACTGCAGCTGCAGCTGCAGCTGCAACTGCAACTACAACTACCACTACACTACACTACACTACACTACCCTACCCTACACGACACGACACGACACGACACTACACTTACTACACTACACTACACTACACTACACTACACCGCACTGCACTACACCGCACTGCACTACACTAGACTACACTACACTGCACTACGCTGCGCTGCACTACACTGCACTACACTGCACTACACTGCACTGCACTGCACTACACTGCACTACACTGCACTACACTGCGCTACACTGCACTACACTGCACTACACTGCACTACACTGCACTACACTGCACTACACTGCACCACGCTGCACTACACTGCACTACACTGCACTACACTGCACTACACCGCACTACACTGCACTACACTGCACTACACTGCACTACACTGCACTACACTGCACTACACGCTGCACACTACACACACTACACACACTACACTACACTACACTACGCTACGCTCTACACTACACACTACACTCCACTCCACCCACTCCACTCCACTCCACTGCACTGCACTGCGCTACACTGCACTACACTACAACTACAGCTACAACTTCACTACACTACGCTAATTACACTGCACTACACTACAACTACAGCTAGACTACCTTACACTAGACTACACCACTACACTATACCACACTTCACTACACAACACTACACGACATTACGGTGCACTACACTATACTAATTACACTACACTAATTACACCACACCACGAATACAACTGCAACTGCACTTGCAAACGCGCTATTTACACTGATATTACAGCTGCAGCTCCACTACATTACACTACACTACACTACAACTACAGCTACAGCTGCAACTACAACTACAACTGCGCGACACCACACTACATCCAGTAGTTGTGGTGGGGTGACCACTGCAACCATTGCAACCACTCCAAAAACACAACTCCAACCACCTGTGGGTCTATCAGTGGATTCGCTCTGCCATCCGTGACTCGCAACAACCAATCTCTCCTATAGGTTCCCTATTTTTGAAACTTCCGCCACCGCCTCGTGCGGCACTACTCGTAGGCATCTCCAAAAAGCTAGGAAAACAAATTCCAGTTAACATAGTGAAGACTCACTTTTCTATGTTTTTGGATCTTTTTGGTGATTCCAATAGGCTTCTGTGGGATTTTGAAACCACGCGCCGTTTGATGCCGGATATTTTCAGAGGCAAACAACTTCTCGTGGCGAGAGGTGGAGAAGGTGGCGGACATTCTTTCGGAAGAATTGGATGATAAATTTATAACATACATGCCTATGTAGTCAATGATATATATATATATATACAATTGTCTATGTATATGTAAAGGTATATGTCTATGTCTATGTCCATGTAAAGGTATATGTCTATGTCTATGTACATGTCTACGTATATGCCCATGCACACGTAATGCCGATGTATATGTAGATATGTAGACATATAGATAAGTAAATATAGTTACTATCTTTATCGATGGATGTGGGATATGTAGGACGATTAATGACGATCACAGGCAGGGGTTGAACCTCTACACCAGTTACATCGAGATTTCCTCGCTTGTGCTCCGTGGGAAAGTAACACAAGGAAACGCTTGGGTGGTTTCATCATTAATTTCCAACCCACATGTTAGGGTTTCCAGAGATGGAGGTACCCCAAAATGGATGTGAATCATGGAGAATCCTATTAATTTATACATCATTTTTAAAATGGATTAAAATGGATGATTTGGGGGTACTGACATTTTAGGAATCCTCCAGATATGTAGATATAGATGATATAGGCATAGAAGACTGTGATGTATCCTGGATCCTATTTGAAACTTCGTGAGCTGACTGTGGTTCTTCACGACTGCAAGGTTTCTCTCAAAATAGGCTATATTCAATGTTGGGCACACATTGGGAGTATGCCCCCTTTCCAGACACACCCGTGAACCACATATGCCTCATCTTGTTGATGAATATTCAACTATATCTCCATTGCATCTCCATTCTGGTTGCTCAATACGCCATTATATTTACATGACATCCCCGTTTTTGTTGTGCTTTTCACAGAATCCCACCGACAGTCCAACAGTCGGCAGGTCCTCATGCTCAGTCAGTCCAACTGGAAGGCACAAGGCGCGTCACTGGCCGCAGCGATGGATGTCTGGTGTCATAGGCCCAAGGAGCTCATCGGTCATTTCGAGTCAAAAATCCAATGAATTTTTGTTGGTGAAATTTTGAAACATACACCGTATACAGGTGAAAGAAATTCTTGGAGTGAGGAACACCTTCAGGAAAGCCTTTGTTCGATTTTGAACTTTTTCGTTTCCATCAAATCATCCCAAAAAAAGATGACATGGGTGTGTTTGTTTGCTATTTATGTGGATAGAAAGTTCCATGCCCTCTGGAGAAGGTGTTTGCACCACCTTTCACCAAGTGTCGATGCTGAGCTGGTGACCGGGTCAAAGTTGTAGGCTCCCTTTGTGGTGACAAAGAAATTGGTCATTGTTGGTATCAAACTATCCACTTTTTAGGGTAGCTACTTTTTAGGGTTGATCATTTTGACCCATCCGCAAGATCCGCAAGTTGCGAAGGCCTACCGGGTATTTTTCTTGTGAAAGGATCAACTCGGTGTGCCTAACGGGAAGTTCCTCTCGACCCATCCAAATCCCAAGCATTTTAGCTAGTCCCACCAGGTGAGCAGCGACAAGTTCCTACAATTTTCCGCAATGTTTTGCCTGTAAGAGGGAATGTATGACTGCCATATCTGTGGATTTTCATATCATTATATACTTGAAGTATATGAATATGTATATATATATAATATATATATATAATATATAGATATGTATTCGTATATAAATATACATATTCATAAAGTATATACAAGCAGATCCCCCAAGCAGTGGCATCCTTTGGTCCCCCGCACTAGGTCCTTGGACTGCTGCCCCTGAGGCCTTGGATTCTGGTCCAAAAATCGAAGGAAGTTTAGAAGTCAAACATTAGACAAATATGGACGTACATATTATATTATTATTATTATTATTATATATATACACATACACATGCATATCATATCACACACACAGAGACACGTATTTTTGATATACGCGCAGAATACTGATTTTGGTTGGCCTTATCCCAGCCATGATTGGTGGTTTGGATCTTCCACTTTTGATGTTTGCCCTGGAATTTTGTTGCAGACCTGCCACTTGACAAGGTGACAACGATGGGTTTGTCAAGGCATGGCAGCTGCGAACATGAGTTTTACTTGCAGCAAATTGCAGAAATTCATGGGCTGGGGATATTGGCTTGCCATTTTATCGGGATCTGGTGAGGATATTTGATGGGACATAATTGAAAGTCATGGGAATATGGGGGATATGTGTCCAAAATGAAATTGATGATCAAACACAGGCTTTGGGTACCCCATTTTCAAACCAGATTCTTCTCACAAGCTCGCAGCAACCATTCTCCCCAGCGGGCGTCAAAGGTTGCAATCCTTGGGTGGCTGCAAGATTCTTTTTTGGCTCAACAAGTCCTGATGCCTCAACCAACATTGATGGTTGGACCAAGAGAATAGGAGGGATTTCACAAAAAACGGGGTGGGTTTGCAACCCCAGAAAAGGTTGTTTCTGAAACGCGGGTGCCCTGCCAGGAGTCCCATGGGTGGCCTGGAGGTTTCGAATGGAACATGGTTGCGCTTGAGCCTGTGAGAATTCGAACGGAACTCCGGCACGATCTGGGCCCTTGGGCCCTTGCGGCTCATGGTTTGAAGAATGGTTTAAAGAAAGGGGACAAAAAAAGAGGGTCTGGATTTTTACTGACTTCCCGGGCAGAAAGATGACATCTAGGGTTTGTTCCTGTAGTTTTTTTTAAAAAATGTTTTTTGATGTTTTTTGATCCACCTGGATAAAGACCGATCTCAATATTTTCCATGAGTGGCGAGGGCTGGGCAGGTGGTTCTGCGAGAGTGGCGATGAGGGTTTGCGAGTTCAGCCCGCAGTTCTAAAAGGGAATGAGACGTGACATGTGAGAAGAGTGGTGGAAAGATAGCTGATTCTTAGGGGACCCTTGCAACGGGTTTTGTTGTGCAACCCAACAGCGTAACCCCACTCCTCATAAAGTTTCATCCCCTAGCGCTGAAGATTGCCCCCTGCCCGGAGCAGCAAAAGGGCATTTGTGAAATGTGTCATGTGGACCACTGTATTTTGCCCTGAGTTTTTTTCAACTTCCAGGATACATGGAGAGAAAATTGGATCCAAAATTTGCAGCACCGGCTTGTATTTCTGGGTGAAACCATAGCTTCCTCATCATTCTTCAATCATCATGTTTGTTGGTGAACAATGATGAATATGTTTGAAATCTTTGTGGTTTGTTGTTGCTTCAATCCCCAGTTTTATCGAGAAATCTACACTACTTGTTGAGGGGTCAAAAGGCAGTGGAGCAACGACGTCATACCATCTGGGCCTGCCACACAAGCCATTTGCTGTGGCGGCCAGAGTAGTTGGTATAGGTCAGAAAGTGAACGCGTCTTACCATCGTTATGGGTTGAAAGGAAAATCTGAACTCGAATCCATGTTTTTTTTTTAAACTACCAATTGCAGTAATTATAGGATATTATAGTGGGGGTTTCCCAAGGATTTTCGCTTCAACCAATTCTGGAGAAGATCAAATGCTGCTGTTTTTTGTTTTCTCAATGGTTGCAAAAATTCAGCGGTGCTCAAAAGATGAAACACTTTTCTGACCAGACTCTTGATCGGTGCACTGTTCTGCCAAGGAAGTAGCATGAGCGGGTCCCAAAAATTCGGAAGATTGTGATGGGACCTTGTCCTACAGGATTTGGAAAAACTTATCGTCTTAAGAGATTTGAATGTTTACGTTGAATTCGGCAGAGCCGTCACATTCCTTGGTCTGAACGCAACATTTTTGCTGATGTCAAAAGCTCAAACGCACTTGACAGTGAGCCTTTTAGGGCTTGATCAAAGTTAGGGATGAGCAGTTTCCTGTGGATTTTCTGTGGCCTGCGCAGGTTAAGAAGTGAATGGCTCAGCACAGCTGTTTTTCTTCACGACTTCGGGAACCTGATCTTTAGTTGGGCTATTCTGGTTTCATACATTGCTTGTCAATCTGAAAGCCAAGGGACCCCTAGAGACCGTAGATGTTTGTCGCATTTGGCGGGGCACTCTGAAGCAGTCCATCTTCCCCTTGCTGCCACTAACTAGGGTGGCAATGCCTGCCCGCCTCACTTTTTGCCCTGCTGAACAGCTCAGCAAAGTTGCTACCATGCCAAAAGATGGTGAGTGCTTTGCCAGAAAATTTCCTCCGCTCGATGCCACCGGAGCTCCCAGAACAGATCAGCAAGCGTCCTGGGAGTGCAGTTGCTGCATGTTGTAGATGGAACTCTTGAAGGAGTCGGCAAAGCATTGTTTTATTTGTCTCCAGCATAGCATTTTCAGAGAGGTGTCCTAGAAACTTTGGGTACCCCAATAGCTGGATGGTTTATAATTTTTCACATTCCATTTATGAATGGATGAGAACTGGGGGTACGCTCATAACTTAGGAAACCTCCATAGGAGCACCTTGAGCACCTAAACTGATCATTGTTTTCCTGCCATTGGCTCCCACCGCTTGAAGCAAATGAGTATAGGATTTGTTTTGACCACAACCACACTCTCAGAATTGGTTGAAGGCATGTTTTGTGGCTAATTCCTATGTTTGGGGACAAAAACCATGGATTTCCTGTAACATGTCCCTCAAACGGTCCGTGTTTTTAATTAATTACTTATATAGTGGAATGGGTATCCATTGCAGTCCATTATAATTGCCACCAGGGGGAGTTCTTATCCACCGACTGTTTCCCTCCCTTGTATTTGGGGTGTTGGAAGCATCCCCGATACATTGGTATGGGTTCAAAGCCTGGTACCCTTCTGTTCACATCAAAATAGCTGCTGAATAGATTTTCATCTGCCCTAGGCTTCAAAATCATGTTTTTCAAGTGGGCAACCCTATGATAAACCCACCTTTTCGGGATGGTACCACCCATATCAATGGTGATGGCCCTGGGACGATGTGTTGCTTCGGAGCGCCGGGGGCACCCACTCTGGCAGCGGAGAAAAACCTTCCGCGGTTTAAAAATCCGGACATCAAAAAGGTCAGTTCGGTCAGTTTTCGTTTGAGTTTTTCAGGAGCAAATCATCAATGATCAGCGGAAGATTTTTCACGGCCCAGATCAAAATACTGCCGGCTAATGCAACTGTGCAGTTCTTGGCTCGAATGTTCAATTACTTTTGCACGGCTTTCGTGGTTTGAAGAAGTGATTTGATCCAGGAATTGTTGAGGGCCGAGTGCACAGATGGTGTTAGTGTATGAGGAACCTCAGAGTTCCATCCGGGTTTTGGATTGTGGAGCATTCCTCAACCAGCGTTCATGAAATGGGCTGTGGCAGCCTGAGACAGTCGGTGACATCCATCATTTCCCTTGCTGGATCGTTGGATGCCCAAATGGTGATCACATAGTCACAGTAGATTTGGAGTCCCAATCCTGAATATACCCTCTGGTAATGACTAACATAGCTATTAAAATTTGCCATGTATAGTGAGTTTTCCCATCAAAAATGGTGATTTTCCATAGTTATGTTAGTTTACCAGAGGGTAGTTCATCAGAAAAAGAGCCAGATGTCAGATGTCATCATTTTCGCTCCTTGTGCTTACGGGCTTTCATGATGCTGACGGACTACTTTAGAGATACGAAGATCTGTCGATTGCAAGCTTTTCGGTGATACACACTAATAACTATATACATCTATACACACAATAATATATATATGACCTCTTCATGCAATTGTCATGCTCTCCAGACATTTCGGGTCAAGCCGTGCATGGATCGCTCCGTGGCCATCGGCGCGACGTCGGGATCCCTCTCGGCACTTATCCTTCGATTGGTGTCGGAATTATCATCTGCTGGTCCACCCCTTGAGTGCCCGATCTGCCCTGATATTGACCTTAGCACCCTTGTTGGGGATCTGGATTTGTTCAGTGTACTAGTTGGACTTTGCCTGGGAATAGCTCTGGGACCCACTTTTGATTTGCTGCACTTGATCCGCCAGAGCTGGCGGGTGTGGATCCGAAGCCGGCTCCAGCAGCTGGCGAAAGAGAGTGGGGAGCCGCTCTACAAGCTTGCATGAGTGAGCGCCACGTGCCCTGGTCCGAGTTTGCGTCTCTGCGAGCAGAAGTCGCGGAGCTGAGGAGCCTGTGCCAAGCCTTGAGTGCTCGCCTGATTGTCTTGGAACAGCCTCGATTGGGCAGTGCGCCTTCCAGTGAGTTTGAGCTTGTGACTGAGGCCCCCTCCACGGAGAGCACTTCTGCGGCTGCTGCAGTGGGCGCTGATTTGCCAGCTGATCGGGTGCGTGCCGCGGAGAAGATCGGTGCGTGGATCAAACGGTGCTTGCAAAACGAGCATCGAGGACTGTCAGGGCGCGAAGAAATCCCCTTAGCCACCAAACTTTATATTGTGGTTCGGGATATTCGGGGCACCTTGTATAATCCTCCTAGGGTCTGTAATTCTTGGGCTGAAACCAAACTTTTGTGTTGTTTGGACAAACAATTTGGGGATAGTATTTTTGTGGGGCTCCCGACAAAAGCGGAAGCTCGCATTGCTGTGTGCTCAGCGGACCTTGAAGTGCCCGCAGAGCTGTCACGGCGTCGATGAGTGAAGAGGGAGACGGGGACCTGGAAGAGCCTGAGGATCTGGGCCCCCGGCAGAATCTCATCACCTCAGGCAACGCTGTGGAGTTTGCGTACCAGACTGGTGTGCTGAGCTCCCTGGACCCCCCCATCACTTGCGCTGTGGCAGCCATTGCGGAAGTCGACGGCCGTCTCCTGGTAGCAGTGCCAGAGACAGCCTGGCACAAGACTCGCCGAAGGCGGCGCATCAACCCGGATTTGCTCTCCAAGGTGATTGGTGTAGTTGTCCCTTGCTGCAACCCTGACCGCAGGGATACACCAGACCCTACACCAACTACAAAGATATGGCTGGGGCTGCTAGCAGCAGATGCAGAAGAACAAGTGTCCTACGACCAAGGTCAGCCGACCCTGACTTTTCCTCTTGGAGTCGACGGGCTGATGCGGCTCCCTTTCGCTTCGGCAGTAGTGGCAGCAGCAAAGGATCACTATACGCTCCTGTCAGCCGACAGCGGGGGATTGGCAGAACCTCCTGGTCTTGGTGGACTCGAAGATCGGTTTGCAGCTATCGAAGAGCAACTACACCAGCTGGCCCAACAGTTTTCTCGCCCTGCTCAAGCACCTGGACAGACGATGGGACGGCGGCCAAAAGCTGTTGCCGCACCTGCAGCTCTGCCCGCCGGCGTAGATCCAGCGGTGGCCCACCAAGCTTTGCAAGCAGGCGTCTCCCCGGCCGCCTTGGCCGAGATTGCCAAATCTATGGGACTGCCCGCTCCAGCTGGCTCCGCCCGGCCGACGGCGGTTGTAGTGGCCGACAGCAGCGGCGCGGAGGAGTTGGAAGAAGAAGACCAAGTGGCCCACGCGTTAAAAGCTGGCGCCGCTTCTGGGTCTGCCGACCCCATCGCAACAGCAGTTCTGCAGCTGACCAAACTGATGACCGACCTCCACAAGGACAAAAGCATGAAGAAAGACCGGGAGCTGGAGCAAATCCTAGACCGCGCCGAGTCTGGATCGACAAAAGATCTGACAAGTGGAGCCACGCGGAGCAAAGCTGCCGCGCTACTGTCGCTTCGCCAACTGCTGCACAAGAACCCAAAGCTGCTGTACACGGCCATAGAGAGCCGGTTGCAGGAAGATTGGGAGCAAGCCTCTATACAACCAGGCATCCAGCAATCAGTGATATCAGCCAGAGGCTGGATCGAGCATCGCAGCCGCATTCAAAACTATGGAGCTACGGTGAGGGCTGCTTGGTGCCTGGGAGGAATACGGGATTGTTTGCGGACAAACCGCATCGACGAAGCCAGGGCGAGGACAGCTCTTGCAGTATGTCTTCTCGATCAACAAGCCTGCGACGGTGGCAGCTTCCTTTTGGCTGGAGAGATGACGCTGGAAAGCCCTCCTCCATTCCAGAGTTTTGTGGGACATGTCAGCCCGCATCCGCGGGAGCTGCCCCACAGCAAGCTGATCGACCCGAGGTGGTTTGACCTCGTGGTGTCGAAAGTCCGCGATCTAGCAGACTTTCACGAGAAGAAGGCAAAGCTGAGTCAAAGACAACCGGCTGCAAAAGCCGAAGAGCCGGTCGCAAAGGCCAAGCCGAAAGCCAAGAACAAGGGAAAAGGGGGGCAGAAAGGGAAGCCAGCGGCCGCCGAGGAGACTCCCTCCACAGCGGTCGAATAGATCGCAGCATGTATGAACCACCCGGAGGTGGTACAGCCAGAGATGGGAAGAAGCCTCCTTCCGTGCCTGGCGCAAATGCCCGAAAGGTTAATGCTACTAGTCTGTGGACCTCTTTGGCCAGATGGGTGTTGAAGTCCAAGACATCATTTTCGACTTTTTTGCACTCCTATTTGCACAACGACCGAACCGATGCGTTCGGGACAGCCGCCAATCTATGGCCCATGCCCGCGCCATACAATTGCTGGTTTTGGAGGGCCGAGTGTCAGCCAGGCAAAGCTGAGGCGACCACCGTTGCAAGGCAGAAGGCTGTGAACTTGGTGGTTCTTATGTTGTCCTGGCTCCACATGAAGCGCCCTACACGGTGCCCACCGGGATTGTCACCTCACACCCGACTGTCTCGGAAGCAATGGGGCATCATCCAGCGCTTTGAAGCTCAACTGAAAGGAGTGGAGCTGGTGGGCATGGTGGGTCCTACGGAGATGGGGCGCACTGCGGCCAAGATGGAAGGCTTGGATAGCATTTTGCATGATCTTTTTGTACGGGCTTGTAGTTTGACGAAGGATTCTTACACTGCCCATTCACCTGACGCTCAACCTCGAGTGTCTGCAGCTGAGAGCATTGAACCGCAAAGGAGGGATGGCTGTGTAGTCGTAGGGCGGATGCAACAAGGCACCCCTATGTTGGCAAAGGATATTGAAACTGAGCGGCTGTCATTTCCTAAGGGTTTGCCGGAGTTCAACCCGGAGAAGTTTTTTGATGGTGTCCACAAGACAGTGTTTGTTGACCCAATCAGCTTGGCCATCCCCCCTGATCAGTCAGAGGGCTTGCCGCCCCGAGTACAGGTTCGAGCCTCTCATGAACAGGTGCTGCAACTTTTGCATTTTTTAGATGAGCATCACCGCCTCCGCTTGGTGCCAAAAAGCAAGGTGCGGACTTCTCACACGTGTGGAGCATTTGCCTTGGTAAAGGATGAGGAGAAGGATAGACTGATAATTGATGCGCGACCAGCTAATGAACTAGAGCAGACACTGCGAGACTGGTGTAGTACACTAGGTTCAGTACAAGCATTAGCGCAGCTGGAGATTGCAGAGGGGCATCGGATGGTATTCTCTGGAACTGACCTACGGGATTATTACTACTGTTTTCGAGTTAGTGCCAAAAGATGTCTCCGTAATGCTCTTCGTTATCCACTATCCCTCAAACAAGCTCAACGTTTTCACTGTTTTCCTCATGAACTTGCTGGCGAAGACCATAAAGTTTTTTACCCCTGTCTAAGCACTTTAGCCATGGGCGACTGCAATGCTGTTGAACTAGGTCAACGTGCTCATGTTGAAATAGGGCTGCGCTGCAAGGTTTTTACCCCCGAAGAACTCCTGACCTCACAGGGAAGAGCACCTAGGGGGAATCTAGCAGCTGGCATTGTCATCGATGACGCCGTTTTTGCAGAGCAGATCCCAGCGAACCAACCTGCCGAGTCTTCAGATGGCGTGCGGCGCTTGGATACTCTTTGTGAGGAATATGTTCAGGAAGGGCTGACTGCCCATCCCAGGAAGACTTTCCGGGGCCACACCCAGGCGGAGTTCTGGGGAGTGGCCGTAGATGGTGAGACAGGCATGCTGCGCACGAACCCCAAGCGCCTATTGCCGCTACTAGAGCTGACGACCAGGGTGGCAGTGCTGGGCTACGCGTCAGTTGGCCTACTAGAAGTCGGCGCTCCAGGTGCGTCGCCGCATGTTGTGCCTGTTGGAGGAAATTTATGCTGCCCAGAGGGGCAGAGACCGTGAGGACATCCTGAAGTTGTCGCCGTCCTTAGTACAAGAACTGTGGACTCTGGTCATTCTTGGGCCTATTTGCGTGGTGGACCTCAAGGCGCAGAGTCTGGATGAGGTGTTCCTGTCTGATGCCTCAGTGGAGAAGAAGGCATCTGTGCGGGCCCCCCTGTCAAAGCACCTAGCCAAAGAATTCCAGAGGCACTGCTTGGCACGAGGCACATGGAGTCGCCTCCTGTCCCCCTGGCAGAGTTGGCTCCGCCAACATGAGCTCATGAATGAGTTTGAAGAACTCCCAGAAGGAGTTCCGCTTGTCAGTCACCCGTTGTGGCTGGTGCTAGCACAAGCTCTGCAATTCCGGCTCCACCATTGCAAGCAAGCGATGGGGCGCCGGCACATCAATCTGTTGGAAATGGAAGCCGTGCTGGAGGTGGAACACAAGCTTGCTCAGCGGTTATGTGACAAGAGATACCTGCTGGGCAGTGACAGCCAGGTGGTCCTAGCGGCCCTTGTGAAGGGCCGCTCAAGCAGCCCTAGCCTGAATCGGCTGCTACAAAGTAGTCTGGCAGTGCTGCTGGGTAGTGGTCTTTATGGAAATTACGGATATGTTCCGTCACTGGCGAATGTTGGGGATGACCCTACGCGAGATCAGCCAATCCGTCTGCCTGCCAGGTCTTTGCCTCCATGGTGGGATGCTGCCGAAGCCGGCGACTTTACCTTGATGGATGAGTGGCTGGCGTCTGTAGGATATGACCCACTGAAACTAGCGGGCATCCCGTGTAGTGGTAGTGAGAAGTTTGATGTCCAGAGAGCTCAAGAGGAGCTGCTGGACCCACTTTATGATGTACAGAAACCTGAGCGTATGGCAATTTTTGCTGATGCACTTTCTAGCGTTTCACGGCCGGAGGGCCTTGGTAGCTTAGCTGAAAAGAGAGCAACAAACCAAAAGAATCATGAAAAGACGCCTGAGGGAAGGAATGAACCCAGGCCTACTCACCTTGTTGCTTCTGGGCAGGTAGCTCCTCCTGCGAAAAACTGTTGTAGTTCAGGCAGGTCAGGATTAGGTCTAGTAGGAACTAGCTGCACCGCTCCGAAGACCGGAGTTGGAACCGTCTCACAGGCGCTGCAAAGCAGTGCTGGTGTAGTGTCAGAAAATAAAAGAGAGCAAGAGCCTGAGAGCCAAACGACAAGAACAGAGAAAAAGCCTGAGGGAAAGAATGAACCCAGGCCCTATTTTCAAGCTGTTGGTTCAAAGCAGGTAGCTCCTCCTGCAGGTCTGGGTCTTGGCGATCCTCCCCCCGCGCAGCATTTTTACTAGCTCGGAAGAGCTCCCAGGGATTAGGGGCGAGTCGCCATGCTGCCATGAGAATAGCAGAAGCCCACTGCTGAGTGAGCGAGCGCAGCAGCTGCTGCGAGCCCTACCTGTGTGCCAGTTTTTTGCACCAGGTGGAAGACGAGCTAGGCCGGGGTTTTTGCCAAAGCGAAAAGGTTTTTTAGACTTGTATAGTGGAAAAGACGTTTGATTTCACCCATGGTGCGAGCCAAAACCTCCTGGATGAGCAAGTGCAGAAGAGCATTTTTGATTTGTTGGAAGCCGGTGCCTTTTTGGGGGCTGGAGCAGCACCGGGGTGCTGCAGCTTCAGCAGAGCGATCACTCCTGCGGTGCGGGATCACCAGCACCCTTTTGGAAGAGCTCCCTTGTCGGAGCACATGACTCGGAAAGTTCAACAAGGCAATGGGCATGCTGCATTTGTTTTGAAGGTAATTTTGTTTTGTCTGAAGCACCAACTGGTTTACTGGGTTGAGAACCCGGATGGAAGCTGGTTATGGCTTTTGCCGCCCTGGGTTGAAAGCGGAATTGCAAGAGCAGAACGAGCCTACCGTTTTGACATGTGTCGGTATCAGACGCCATGGAGAAAACGTACCCGGATTCTCACCAACACACGATTTGCCGGTGTTAGAGAGATCTGCCAGGGAGGTCACTCCCACCAATTTCTACGTGGGCGCAGCTCTTTGCACCGATGCTGCTGGACTAAGGTGGCTCAGACATACCCCATGTCTCTCTCTCGCCGCCTTGCCTTTGAGATGGGCAGGGCAGCAGGGTTGCGCCGTGACGAGGTGGGTCGCCTGGATGTGGCCGCTTGTGCGAAGTCTTCCTCTCCTCGAATCGGGGAAGCGCAAAACCCGGGACCCCGACGAGCGCACCGCGCTCCAGCTCTCCGGGACCCGGGCGACCTTGAATCAGTGGTTCTAGTGGGCCAGGGCACCCGTGCTTTGCAGCGGCGCATTTGGGAGAATTTTGACAGGTGGCTGCATGACAAGTACTCGGAAGACACCTGCCGCCAGGTTTTTCTTTGTCCCTCACTAGCTGTGCAAGTGCTGCGAAACTATGGGCTTCATGTATCTCAGCGAGGGGGGCGGCTCTATGAGCTGCGTCATTTACTGGTGCTGGCCCAACAAAAGTTCCCTCTACTCAGACCTTCCATGGCTCCGGCATGGCAGCTGGTCAGCCAGTGGGAGGAGCTTGAGCCAGTTTGTCATCGGCGCCCTTTGCCGGAAGCCCTATATAAAGCACTGGTGTCTCTTGCTATTTACTGGGACTGGAAGCGTTTTGCTGGCTGCCTTATTTTAGCAGTGGAAGGCATTGCTCGAATTGGCGAGGTCCTACGAGCACGACGAGCTGACTTGGTCCTCCCTGCTGACTTGTTTGATGACCGAGTCGCCTCCGTGTTCCTCAGAGTTCAAAAGCCAAAGACCCACCGTCGAGGGAAGGGGCGGGTTCAACATGTTAAGGTTGAGGATGCGCAGATAGCCAAAGTCCTTCAGCATGTTTTTGGAGACCTGCATGATTCCCTTCTCCTTTTCCCTTTGTCTGCGGCTAGTTTTAGAACAAGATGGGAGAAACTTCTGAATGCTTTAGAAGTTCCTTCGGCTTTTAGACCTACACCTTCAAGTGTCAGAGGTGGTGGTGCGATTCTGGCCTACAAAAGAGGCGAAGCAATCCCCAGCATCCTCTGGCGGATGAGACTGGTTTCGCAGATGACTTTAGAGTCTTATCTTCAGGAGCTCGCTGCCGAGAGTTTTCTAGCAAAGCTGCCGGAAACCACCAAACTTAGAATTCGTTTTGCTGCTTCTTACTACCTCCCAGCTTTGAAGTCACTAGGCTAACGCCAACCCTGTATAGCTCGTACTTATAGTGACGGCCTAGGAACATGTGGAAGCTGTCACCTTTGAGCCCTGTTTTAGGTGCATCACCAGCCTTCTTTTTATTTGCTGTGTGATGGCATGCACCCGGGCTGGTGCCAGAGGGAGGAGCTCCCCGTACTTTACTAGGTTGTGCAGAGTGTAGAAAGAAGGTGAGCGTGTGCCATTGCATATATATATACAATATATATATATGTACATATACACATGACATATGTGCATAGTATGTAAAATACTGTATATATATACACATAGATATACATATAGATATACATATAGATATAGATATATACACACATACAAATATATATATATGCATATGTATATATATATGTACATCATTGCAAAGTTATGTATATATATATACACGATGTGTATGTGAAAAAAAATATATATATATAATGTATGTGTACACATAATGCATGTAAGAAAGGGAACGCTGATTTACTGTAGTGATCACCCCGTAATACCCTGGCCTTTGCAGAATCGGAGAGGCTTTGGAGAAAATCCAGCAGTATGGAAGGTTGTTTCCCAGCCATTGGCTGAGCATCAACCTACACGCTGTGAAGTGTTCCTCAGGATGATCCGATGCCAGGGATACTTTGAAGGATGGGTGTGTCTGAAAATGGGCTGCGCATAAACACATGGTATATCGTCTTTTCCAAAAGGGAAGCGATTGGATCTTAACCAATGGACCAATGGATGGGTGAAATCCCAACATTTTCAGACAAACCCACATCGGATGACAAATATTGCAAATTGAACAGCGCAGGGAAGAGAGTGACACACAAACCATGTGGGCCCATGTGGGCAACTCCATGGAATTCCGAGAAGTTTTTCAGGATTTGCTTATGACACATCCTCAAGCAAATAGCTACGCTGACTGCTATAAATTTAAAGCAGTGCGTGCCACATGGTTAAAGGGTTTTTGAGTGGGAAGAGCATGTAGCAAAAGCAGAAGACTTTGGAATTGAACCAAAATTTGCTCGACATACGCAAGCATCTCCAGATCAAAGATAGTTGCAGCATTTTGTAAGTGAACTCCTGCAAGGGAGAACTCCCATGAGGGAGCCATTTTGTTACTCTCAAGCCTCAGATGTTGGCAATCAACCCAATTGCACATGGTGGCCCTTGCTACCATACCTGGCAGTCGCAGCCGAGTCTGTTCAAATCTGCCAATCATAATCAATCATGCCTGACCCTTGTGCCAGCGTTTGAGGAAACTAGGAGTTGATACTTCCACCATCAAACAGAAATGGAAATTGCAGACTGGGATTTTCTGGGCAGCCCCTATGACTCTAAGAGCCCAACATTGGTGGAACATGGCGGCTTTTGGAACATCTGGCTTCTCCGGCCCGGGGACATGGGCAGATAAATTAAACGCACTCACCATACTAGATAGGCCGGAAATGAATGCATCACTGCATGTAAAGACACCAGAAGATCCAGAGCGGAGCGAAAAAGGTTTCCGAAGAATGTAAGGCTTCCAATGACTGCAGCATTTGGGAATTTTGAGGGATCCCTGGTGGAAAAGCAGAGTTTCCGATGATCAGAAAATGTTGCAAGGTTGACAGTGGTACTGTCTTTGAGACCACATCTTGGGCAATATGTTTCAAAGCATTCTAGAAAGCTTGGTATTAAGACACTCACATGATGCTTTTGGGCAATGTCCCACGAGACTTTTGTTCTTAAACAGTACCCACTATCAGCTGTTCCTGGTGTTTCGATATCCATGGGTATGGCTCCAAATTACTTCCAAATTGGATGGTCGTCCAAGAAATGACCATCCATTCTTAGCCTGTGGAGGTTTGTCTTCAGCTCTGCGTGGCAATGTCTAGATGCCTCGCAGCTGAACGGAAGGACTTTCTGGGATGACCACCCATATGGATCGATGGTTTTTATACCACAAAAAGGGTTATCCACCGGCCCGGGGGTGGATCGTATTGCGAAAAACGAACTTTTTGGAGGGCATAATCTTTGCTGATTTGTTGATTCAGGGAGAATTACAATATATTCCCCATGAATGATCAAGCTCATATGAAGGGGCTAGTGAATGTCATGGTTTCAATAGCCATTTCAGGGACCTGAATTAGAGGTACAACTACCATCTATTTCCGGCCGATCTTTTTGGGCCAACTTTCAGGGAGCCCGGGAGTCCAGCCAGATAGCTAATCTGGACCAGTGTGACCGAAAAAAAACCCGGTTGGTTGATTGTTATATGAGGTCATGCTATCCAAATCTATCCAATATATTGGGGAATCAATCCACTTTGGGCAATCCGAAAAACACTTCAGCGAGTTTCAGCAACGGGATGAAAGAAGGTTTTTTTTCACACTGCGCATTACATGGGGATCCTAATACCATTCTAAAAAAAAAACCTGCTGAAGCATTGACCAAAGATTTTTTTGGGATATGAATAATGGGGATATGATGGCAGATGTGATATAATTGTAACAAATGAGAACATATCATTTGTTGATCTGTGAAATCTGTGAAATATCTGTTGGCAGGGGATGGAAAAGATGTATACCTCAGGTTAGACGGTTAGACCTAACCCAGGCTCTGAGAATCGCTCAGTTTGTTTGGGGTCCCCCAAACCCTAAAAAGATAGAAGCTTTTTTCAGGATGTTCTATTTTTTATGGGGACCCTGAAACATATAAAGGATCAACTGAACCCCCATCATTTTGCAGCTTTACTGTCCATCTCTATGGGGCCAGCGCAAAAGAAACGCCTGCTGCCAGGATGAAAAACCCGCGCGAGCCAGCAGCCCAGGAGTGATCCTGCACCAATTGATAGGTGGTGTATCCCAGAAAATCCCATGATTTATAGGGTTTCAACATGAACCAAGGTGGTGCCCGATTTCGCAACCATCTGGTAGTCAACAGGGGTCCCCTGTTGATCCATGATGAGAAGGGCAAAGCATTCTTCTTGGTGTGCGATTTGGTTTGGTTTGGATTTCCACGGCACTCAGTGGCTGGTAGCAAGGAGCATTCATTCTCAAGCTGCATGTGATTTCTTCATGACAACAGGGCCGAACTCGACCCTTACAGCTAGCTGTTTTAGCGCGGTCATTCTCATGGTATCATTTTGCAACGCTGACTGAAAAAGATCCAGCAACTTACAGCTCTGGACTGATGACATTCCCGGGAAACCCATTTTTTTGGGTGTTTATAAAACACCCATGCTGTCCTCTTCATTTCCTTTGAACGAATCCAATGAAACATCGCAACATGTCGGAGCGGTAAGCAAGCCAATGCCATTGGAGAAAGAGTGCCTCGGTCCAAAGGGTTGGACTGAACCATTAAACATACCGGACCCAACTGCTGCTAGATTATTATCGTTGTGGAACTACCACTTGGTCCAGGGATTTTTGGAACCCACCATAGGAACACCTATGAACCAACCAGTATGATGGAATGGGATGGGTCTATTTTTTGTGGCTCACGTCGGAAAAAGGTTTGGGAGTAGGTCAATACGATCAATACTTGCGGTAGGTTTGTGTCTGACTGAAGCAGAACACTGGAGTGCTTCCATATTTGTGGATGCTTCCCTGAATCAGGAAACTGCTTACCTATCTCAAATGATCACATCAAACCTTTGGTCAGAGCTTTCGGCACCGAAGGTCGAACAGAATGGAACCCGAACATGCAGGTGCCAACCAGCTTTCCCACCAAGGAGATCCTGGGGAAGGCTCATTTGGGCGGTGGCAGCTGACTTGGCTCTTGACACGGTGGGAGGCTTAGTGCTGGACAGCAGCTGGTGGATGTGACAGCAGTTGATCCCCCGGCAAAGAATGGGAGAGGCCATAACCATAGGTAGTAACACTTAAATCTCCGTCTTTTTTGTCCCCAAAACGATCTAACACGACATATATATATATAATAATAATGCACACATATTTTATATAAATCACACCATTTTTTATTCAGAGGCAAAGCTATTTTCTCAACCATGAGACTTTGAGGGTTTCGCATTTTCAGAGTAACCCATCATCTCTAAATCCCCGCGGTGGATCGAAGGTCACCCGATTTTTTTTTTGGGGGATGGGATTGAGCCGAGGTCAATGGAGACCGGTACACCCAAACGTTAACCCAGTTACGTGCCTCAACTTGTGGTAATTAGATGGTAATCACTATTAGATATATAGATGGTAAAATCCAATTAGATAGTCACTATTCTACTCGGGTAATCACCTGGTTTTTGGTATCTGTTTTTAACTAATACACCATCTCTAGCCGGGTCTTACCATACACTCTAATAATATTTCGACGGTACTTGGTAGCTCATCCCACGAATCGTAAGTGGGTTAGTTCACCCCCAGTGGGGCTTAATCCACTAAAACAAATAATTTTAAATATGGTAAGTGGGTTAGTTAAGTGGGTTAGTTCACCCCAGCTATACATGTTTTTTTTTTTTTTAAATAGGGTTTATCCACTTACCCTCTGGTAATTTAACGTAGCTATTGAAAATGGCCATTCATAGTGGATTTTCCCATTAAAAATGGTGATTTTCCATAGCTATGTTAAATTACCAGAGGGTAAAAAAAAAGAAAAGTTTTTTTTTTTTAGCTACTCACAATCGCCAAGCCACCCACAAGGTCACCGCAGCCAGCGGCTGCTTCTTCTTTCAGCGCTTCTGCCTGGCTGAGCGGACCGAAGGTAGGGAGGGAAGCGATGGGCAACATGATCGTCAGGAGTTGTATATTACAGTGAAACACATATATACGTAATAATAATAATGATAATAATAATAATATAATAATAATAATTAATAATAATATATATATATATATTTGTAGAATGTATGTTATCACATATATTTATATGTATGTAGAATGAACATAAGACAATTCTGAAAGAAAAGGTATATGTACACATATATATATATATAAAATTAATTATATATATATATATATCTGGTTGGTGGTCTGAAACATTTTTTATTTTTCCATTTCATATATGGTATGTCATCCTTCCCATTGACGAACTCATATTATTATTTTTCAAGATGGTTTGTTTAACCACCAATTGATATATATATATATACACACATACACAGATATAGATACCCTCTGGTGAACTAACATAGCAATGGAAAATCACCATTTTTAATGGGAAAATCCACTATTTCTATGGCCATTTTCCATTGCTATGTTAGTTCACCAGAGGGTATGAAAAACCCACCATTTCTGGGAGGCGATTTCGACCACCATCGCCTGGCCATGGCCAGTTTGTGGCTGGCGACCAAGGTGCGGCTGGGGGATGAAGGGATGATGGGATGAGATCTTTTTCTTGGGGAAATCATCGATAAATGGGAAAAACAAGCATCAAAAAACACAACTATAAAACCATCATCAAGTTTGGGGGAAATCATTGAAATCATCTATTTTTTCAACTATCAAAGCATCTATAAAACCAAACTTCTTCTTCGTTTTCTTGAGCAATATGGTTCGATAGAACCAACTTGATATGGTACTCGAAGATGGGTGCCCGAAAATAGTCTTTGGAATTGGACAATGATTGCAAAACGTGGATGGAATGGGGTGCCCAGAAGCGCAAATTCTGTCGCCTGTCGGAAGCGGCGACCTCTGAAGAGAATTTCCGCAAAAAACCTTGGATTTTTGTTGACAATGTGCGACCAAAATGACCGGATGCATTAGATTTCATCCAATCTTTCTTGGTGTTTCAGCGGTGGAGGTGAGGGAAACTTCCTGCCGCCTAAGAGACATTGTCAATGGCTTCGAGGCAGGCCCAGTTTCCGGTGCAGAGCTGGCAGCCAGCTTCAAGTTTGCCTGAACATTTAGTAACCCAGAATCCCAGGGCCCAGGATTTATCATCATAATATTTGAATTGCAATTTTGTGGTATCTTCAGTATCCCCTGCATTTTTAACTCCAAACAGGTCAGAAGGTGCTACTTTTTCGATGTCACCCGTTCCAAATATGTGCAAATATGAAAAACCATGGTTTCTGGTGGGTGTTCTGCAGGACTGGGGAGGTCGGTATGCCCATGAGGTCGGTATGTCAACTCTTTTTTGGGGTGCCAGAACCAGTTGCACAGAGATATATAGTCTATAGTCATATACATCATGAATATGGGTGGAAAAGGACCCCCAAAAATTGGGATGCTGAGTAGCAAACATGAGAACGATGATCCCAACTGAAGTGCATATTCGTCGGGTGGCTCAACCACCAACCAGTCATTACATGTCCATTACCTTTCCATAATATACTACCCATGAACCAATCATTGCAACATCTTTTCCATGATATACTAGCCATATTTCCATGATATTTTTTCCACAATCTACTACTTTTCCATATTATATTACCAATATATTTTTATCCCCAAATGGCGATATATATATATATATATAGATATGTACATGTGACTTGAGTAACCTTGGATGTACGAACCATATGCCACCTGCAGGCTGCATGGGAAACCAGAGACTTCGCCATCGCCACTGCGCGTGGCTCAAGGCACGTGAGGTGCAAAAGCGAGGACGCGGCTGCTGTGGGCAGCACAGGTATCGAGAAGTGTAACAAGTTCATAAGGGCCCAGGGGGTCACGGTGAAGAGCCCTTTTAAGGGGAGATTTTCCTTTTGGGGTAGGAACCCCAAATCCAAGAAACTGGTTGGTACCGGTTTCCCTACCTTTGTGGACTCTTACCCGGGGAGCCACATTGGTAGCGGAGCCCGGAGGGCCCACGTGACTTCGTGGAAAGCCCGGGGGCGCCCGCCATGTCGTCCACTGCTGAGATCTCAGATGACAAAGGGTCTCACATCTGGACCTTGCTGCCTACGTTTGACCCGGCAGTGGACAACGTCAGAGAGTACATAGAAAAGGTGAAGTTCATAGACACGATCTGCCCAAAGAAGGATCGACCAATGCTAGCACCACGGCTAGCTATGCTGTGTCGAGGGACGGCTTGGGGACAAGTGAAAAACCTCGACTCGGCCCAGTTGGTTGATCCCGAGCACGGCGTCAAAAACTTGTTGGCGGCGCTGTCTACATGGGAAGAGTCCACCGAGATGAAGACGTATGAACAATTTGAGAAAGCAGTATACAAGACAGTTCAGAAGAGCGACGAGTCCAGCATGAGTTTTGTCAACCACTTGCAGGTTGCGATGGACGAGCTGGGCGCAAAGAGTATCAAGGAGTTCCATGCCTTCCTGCTTCTCAGACAGAGTTCATTGAGCCCTGAGGACAAGAAGCGTGTCCTGACAATGACGAATGGAAACATGGATACGAAAAAGATCGAACAAGCAATGCGAACCCTGGCAACCTCAATTTTGTCATCAGGTGAAGTCAAAAGGAAGGTCTACCCAACCAACTATGTAGAACCTGAGCAGAACCTGGTGACCAATGAGCAGGAAGCCTTTTCAGCTGGAAGTGTCAATCAGTACAACAGCTATGAAGAGGAAGAGATCGACCAGGAGTTTGTGGATCACCTAGCATCTCAAGGCGACTCAGATGCCTTGAATGTGGTGAGTTTTGAACGTGATCTAGAAGAGATGTTTCAAGAAGTTCCTGACCTCCACAATGCTTTGCTGAGCTACCAAGAGGCGCGAACAAAGATCCTGGAAAGGAAACGATCCCGAGGATTCTGGCCTGCGACTGGAAAAGGGAAATCAAAAGGGGCTGGGAAGTTTCATCAGTTCCGAAAAGGGTCTGGCAAGGGAAGTCTTTTGCAGCGCATCTCAAGGACATTTTGTCGAGCATGCGGAGAGAAAGGTCACTGGAAAGCAGAGTGTCCGAACAAGCCTCCTGCAGCGACGGATCAAGCAAACTTTGTGACCCACCAGAGCTTCAGATCCTATGCCCGTGATGATGAACCAGCCCATGTGATTTTCGAGGAAACGGATGAGGCCGGAAACATGTCAACCATGGGGAATAATAATAAGGGTAAAGGGGATAAGGATAATAAATGGGGCATATGTCAAGTTTTGTCCAAAGCATGCCACAGCATCCGATGTTTTGTGAGCCAATGCATCCGGAAGCAGCCAATCACCAAGAACCACACTGAGCATCCGGAATGTGAAAGCGAGATTCCCCATGAAGTTGCCTTTAGCCTGCACCATCTAGTTCCCCAGGTTCAACAGTTTTTCCGATTTCGTTTGAACCCCAGGACGAAGCCGTCAGTGCCTGAACATGAAGCATCCGAGTGCTTCCACAGCCGACCGAGCTTGGGAGCCATTGCAGAAGATGGTTTAGCCATACTGGACACTGGAGCCAGCCGCAGTGTCATAGGAGCTGACTTGTGGCCGGGTGTGATGAAAAGTCTGCCCAGCGAAGTGCAATCACGAGTGCAAGAACACCCCAGCAAAGTAGGATTTAGATTTGGCAATAATCAAATAACCTACAGTTTTAAACAAGTCCGAGTTCCAATCATTGCTGGCCGTAGCAGAATCTGGATGGTTGTGGAAATTGTTCCTCGAGCAACTCCGTTCCTCATATCCATTCAGGCCATGAAAGCCCTAGGAGCCATGATAGATCTGTCAACAAATCAGTGTTATCTATCCAAGATTCAAAGATGGTTGAACTTACGAGAGAGTGAGAATGGTCTGTATGTTTTCAAGATGTCTGAGCTGTGCCTAGGTGTCACAGAGAATGCCATGTCAGCCAAAGAAACAGCAGCCATTCGAGTGTCCAACGTCTTGCCCCCGCCTGGTCTTGTCCGAAGTGAGTCTTTCCAGAATGTTGACTCAACGGGATGCCATGAAGCTGATCAAGTCGACGGCAGAGGCGGTGATGGAATCTCTCAGAATGCTCTTGATCATCTTGATGAACCAGATCGAGGTGAAAGCCCCCGACCAGGAGATCACCGTGCAGCATGCGACCTCCCTCCAATCTCTCTTGGCCAACGTGAATGCCCAGAAGGATCGGATCGAGGAACCCTCCCAGATCCTCCAGGAAAACACCCCGAAGAGGACTTCAAGTCGCGCTGGGCCAAGTCCTTCGGAGATTGGAGTCCTATCGGACCATTCATGGGAGCTGGAAGAGGAGGAGGAAATCAGGGCTGCAACAAGGACTCCACCAAAGAAGAGCCAGCCGAGATCTCAGGGAGCCTCAACCATGAGCCACCTGAATCACAACCTGATTCTGGAGAACAACCGAGAGGGTCAACTTGCGCTGACTGCTCAGGCTTTGGAGTCATGGGGCAACAAGAGAGTATCATGGGGGAAAACACACAATGGGAGACGATTCACAGAGGTGTACGAAGAACACCAAAGCTACGTCGATTGGGTCAGTGCACGAGCCAAGAACGCGACCCCGGCAATGCAGGACTTCATCACCTACTGCCAAGCTCGCAGCGACATGGAGAAGCAGGCACTGAGAGGCCGTTAGAAAGATCAGCGAATCCAGGCCCATCAATGCATCTGGAGAATGCCTATGAATTGCACATGATGAACCAATGTCGCCATCACATGCCAATTCAGGGTCATAAGCCCATAGATCTCCTAGAAGTGTATGCCAGCAGTAGTAGCCGATTAACGAATGAAGTCAATAAGAGGGGTGGGGTAGCCAAGAGATTCACCTTTGAAGATGGGGATTTGAGTACCACTGAAGGACAGATCAAGCTGTTTCGGAAGATCTTCCTGTGGAAGCCACGACACATATGGCTAGCTCCAGAGTGCGGCCCTTGGAGCCCTTGGAACCGATTGAACCAGACGAAAAGCATGGAATCCTATAGCCGCATCCGTGAAAGCCAAGCTGCATCCAAAGATCAGCTTTATATGTGTGACCTGATTTGCAAGATACAGTTGGATCGGGGTGACCATTTTCACCTTGAAAACCCCAAACCTTCCGGAATGTGGCAACAGGAAGAAATGCGAGAAATATGCGGCCGTACCAAGCCAGCCTTCTTCGATCAGTGTCAGTTCGGTTTAAGGCATCCATCTTTGCAAGAACCGATGCAAAAGAGCACCCGTGTACAAACCTCATCCGAAGAAATGTTTAGAAGCCTGGATAACCGATTGTGCTCAAGAGATCATGCCCATGCACATGTAGCTGGATCATGTACCGTTGATGGAAAAACTGTACAGGTGTCCCGTTTCTCAGCGTTCTATCCCAGAGTTCTTGCAAAGAAGATTGCCGAAGTGATCATGCGACCAGTGCATGAACATGTAACCGTCCCGACCATGGTCGTCCAGCAAGAATGCTTTCCCGTACGAAAGCTGGAAGATTCCGGAAGTCCAATGGAGAGCATGGCAAAACGTTCCAGAGTCAAAGAGAACGAAACCGGCAAGAAGTCAAGCCGTAAAAGAACTCACGAAGAAGAATCACCTAAGAAAATCGAGGACATAAGATGGAAAGGGGTAATGGATAAATATCGAAAGGAACTACCTAAATCTGGGGTAACTAAATGGGATGGTCCTCATAATGCCGAAGTACAAGTTCTTCAAAGCCTATGCCCTGAAATGCAAGTCCAGTCAGTAATGGCATGCAAGGGTCGAGAGAAATACATGGTCCACCCAGATCGTTTGCCTCACCGAAGAACGGTAGTTCTGAGCCGATTGTCATACGAAGTGTCTGACCTTGGAACTGAAGATCTGCAGTCCATGCCCAACAGTCATCAGAAAAGGAAAGCATCCATGCCTTCACATGTCATGATATGTGTTTTTGGTAGACAGAAAGAGTCCTCAGAGGTCCAAGTTGTAGGAGACGCCATAATGGAAGACCCTGGAACACCGCCTGGAACGAATCACATGCCAGTCCCAACAAGTGACTCCACCAGAAGAGTCGGTGAGCCGAATGCTGAGAACCCTGAAGTTTCAGCACCTGACCTTTCGAGTGTCATGCCCGCCAACTCATGGACGTCCGCTGCAGTGTCGGTGTCTGGCCCAAGATTTCTCCAATTATCTGAACCCAGAAAAGCATATATCAGAAAGTTGCATCACAATCTGGGTCACCCGACATCAGAGCGTTTATCCAAACACCTGGCAGAACTCGGAGCAGAAGAGCTGCTGGTCCAAGGTGCCTTGGATTACCTGTGTCCCTCATGTGTGGAAAGACGGCCACCAAGTTTGAACCCAACCGGAACCCTCAAAGAAGCTAGAGATTTCAACCACCGAATTTACATTGATGGTTTTGATTGGAAAAGCACTACAGGGTATCAAGGATATGTTGTTCACTTGATTGATGAAGCCACGCAATTTCACTTGGGGAGACGCACAGTTCGTGATGGGATCCAAGCGCAAAAAGTATTTGAAGAATGTTGGAGCAGCTGGGCAGGAATACCAAGCGAGCTAGTCATGGATTGCGGAGGTGAATTTGTTGCCGAACCATGGAAAGAATTCCTCCAGCAAGGGAATATCACCCCAATACTCACTGCAGGGCCATGGCAGAGAGGTAGAATTGAAAGACATGGAGCAATTGTAAAAGAGATGTTGTCCAGAATAGATCAAGCTCAGCCGATAAACAATGAAGGAGAATTTGAAAGAGCATTGTTTCAAGTCTTTCGAGCCAAGAATAGCCTTTCTACAACATGTGGCTACAGTCCTGAGCAAGCAGTCCTAGGAAAGGCAACAAGACTCCCCGCATCGTTGACAAGTGATGAAAGCACTCCGGCACACATGCATGCAGCCTTCAATGAAGGACCTGAGGCAGAAAAATTCCGTGCGTCGCTGGAACTCAGAGTGTTGGCCCGAAAAGCCTTCATTGACAGTGACAACAGTCAAGCCATACGCCGAGCCACCCTGAGGAAGTCCAGAGGGGAAATCAATGAATGGAAATGCGGACAACCCTGTATGTTCTGGGATAAGCGCAAATCAGCCAACATGATAGAGAAAGGAAAATGGTGTGGACCAGCTCAAGTTGTTTTGGTTGAATCAAAGACTATCGTTTGGATAACTCACATAAATAGGTTGTTGAGATGTGCAAGGGATAACCTCCGTCCTGTCAGCCTTAGAGAGTTTGAGCGACATGCGTCTTTCAGCCAACAAATCGATGCACAGCAGGCCCAAAAGTTGGCTGAGAATCTGCAAAGGAGACTCCATGAAAGAAGTGGAATGTTCCAATTCTCAGATCTAAGTGATGTCCCAGTTGAAGCACCCATGGAAGAGGACCACCCACAAGGAAATCAACCTGAAGAAGAACCTTCTAGAAGAGCCTCACATGAACCTGTGCCCGAAGCTCGAGAATTGCGTCCTGAAGAAGTGGCCATCCCAGAAAGTGTAGACCATGAATGGAGCGAGCCAAGTGATGTGTCACCAAGTAGCTTTGCACCCGAGCCTAACGGGGAGAATAATGTTACGGGGAGTAACTTTGGGGAGAACCTAAGTGGGAATGAGAGCATTGAAGACAGTAACATAGTCTATAATGCCTTCTTTTCGGAGTCCAATGTTCCCGGACCTGCCATCCCTAGCGACGAAGACACGTTATGGGATGATGCTCAAGAGGATCCTCGACCATACTGTGAGTATGAGTTTGATGTCCCCAAGCAGCACGTCCAAAGGTTCATAAAAGATCCCAAAATGAACACCTCCTTTTTGGCCACTGCAGCTAGGCGTGCACGTTCCGAAGTCCGATATGCCACATTGAATGCATCCGAGAGAGATCTCTTTGACAAAGCCAAATCTAAGGAACTCAACTGTTGGTTGGAAACCAGTGCTGTCAGGAAAATCATGAGATCCAAAATTTCCCCCAACCGCATCATGACTAGTCGATGGATTTTAACATGGAAACCTGACCCGTCCATGCCCAAGGGTCAGAAGGCCAAAGCCAGACTTGTTGTACGGGGATATCAAGACCCCGAACTTGATCAGGTAAGTACAGAATCCCCGACTTTGTCCAGAGATGCTCGAATGCTGTGTTTGCAGGTGATCTCATCGATGGGTTGGGTAGTCCAAAACTTCGATATAACCACGGCCTTTCTCCGTGGGAAATCAGATGGAAGGCAATTGGCCATGGAACCCGTTCCAGAACTTCAGAGACTTCTCAAAATGACAAGTGACGAGGTCCTGTTGCTAGAGGGTAACGCATATGGCAGAGTTGATGCACCACTGCTCTTTTACAAGGAGTTTAGACGTCAACTAGAGAAAGTAGGATTTGAAGCTCATCCACTTGACAATTGCCTGTTCTTGCTGCGAAACAAAACCAATCCCGAAATTCTGGATGGAATCTTAGGAACTCATGTTGATGATGGCATAGGAGGAGGGAATCACCACTATGAGAATGCCTTGAAAGAATTGCAAAAAGTACTTCCATTTGGACAGAGAGAGTTCAGAAAATTTAGATTCACGGGTCTTGAGATTGAACAGCTGCCTGATAACTCCATCAAAATCAGTCAGGAACCATATATCAATAAGATTGAACAAATACAAGTGCCCAAAAATAGGAGAGCCAACAAAAATGAAATGGCAAACGCCCAAGAAGTTCAAGACTTGAGGGGGTTGTGTGGGAGCCTTCAGTATGCGGCTGTACATAGCAGACCCGACATAGCAGCAAAGGTAGCTTTTATCCAGAAGAACATTTGCAAGGCGACAGTGTCAACTCTCCTGGACGCCAACCGAGTGCTGATTGAAGCCCAGCAGACGGCTGATACGGCCATAATGGTGAGACCTCTGCCTTTGGAGCGAATCACCTTTGCAAGTTTCGGCGATGCAAGTTTTGCCAGTGCTTCTCAGTTAAAGGCCCAACAGGGATTGTTTATCGTTGCCTGCACGCCCGAACTTGCTGCCAACAAAACATCCGAAATCAGTCCTATGTCCTGGAATAGCAAACAGATAGGCAGAGTGGTGAGATCAACGCTTAGTGCCGAGGCATATGCAATGAGCTCCTCTCTTGACAAATTAACCTGGCTTAGGTGTCTATGGGGTTATATCCTAAGTCCAACCTTCAAGTGGCAATATCCCGAACGTTCCCTTCAAGCATGTCCCAAAGCTCTACTTATCACAGATTGCAAAAGTTTATATGACTTAGTCACTAAACTGGCAGTACCTAACTGTGAAGAGTGGAGAACAACTGTGGAGGTGATGCTTATCAAGCAGCAGGCAGAAGGGCATTCGCAGTGCCGTTGGATTTCTACAGCAATTATGCTGGCCGACTGTCTGACGAAGCCGATGGAATCCTCCTTTTTAAGGTCAGTGCTACGGCTGGGAAGATTCAGAATCTTCGATGAGAGCCAAACGTTACAAAACAACTCACACCGCAAGATCGCGGCAAAGTGGGTATCCTTACCAACCGCGGCACTGGAAGATGAGGATCCGAAAGTACATCCAAAAGAAAAATAGACCAGTGTGACTTGAGTAACCTTGGATGTACGAACCATATGCCACCTGCAGGCTGCATGGGAAACCAGAGACTTCGCCATCGCCACTGCGCGTGGCTCAAGGCACGTGAGGTGCAAAAGCGAGGACGCGGCTGCTGTGGGCAGCACAGGTATCGAGAAGTGTAACAAGTTCATAAGGGCCCAGGGGGTCACGGTGAAGAGCCCTTTTAAGGGGAGATTTTCCTTTTGGGGTAGGAACCCCAAATCCAAGAAACTGGTTGGTACCGGTTTCCCTACCTTTGTGGACTCTTACCCGGGGAGCCACATGTACATATATATATATATATATTTATACGCATCCCTTTTGAGGTCCTCCTCCAGCGAGCTGAGAGTTGCGGCATGCCTATGGAGGCCATTTTATGGGGGGTGGACATGGCCGCATTGAAAAAGGGCCTGGCTTAGCTGTTACCCTTTGGTAAACTAACAGCTTGCTATGTCCATTGGTCTGGGTCAAAATGGGGGTACCCCTGAATGCAAGATGGTGGGGTCAAAATGAAGTATCCCCAGTAAATTCGGGTCTGGGTCAAAATGGTTTATACTAAACATGGACTACCCTCTGGTAAACTAACATAGCTATTGAAAATTGCCATTTATAGTGGATCTTCCCATTAAAAATGGTGAATTTCCATAGTTATGTTCGTTTACCAGAGGGTAAATTTCTTAAAATTGATCAGATCTGTGCCTGTTTCTTATCGCAACGACTTCTGCGACGGAGGTCTACTGGGCCATGCGAGACGAGATCGTGGTACACGAACAGGCGACTGTTGCTGGTCCTCTTCCGGACGGTGTCCGCTGAACAGTTACGCATAGGTACGCCATTGTGCGGTAACTGTTGTCCTTCAAGAATATTCTGAATTCCATGAAAACATCAAGATACTTCCTGCCATAATTTGCGAATTAAAAAAGCATCATCATCATCATCATCATCATCGTCATCATCATCATCATCATCCTCATCGTCATTGTCATCGTCATCGTCATCGTCGTCATCCTCATCGTCATCGTCGTCATCCTCATCGTCGTCATCCTCATCGTCATCGTCGTCATCCTCATCGTCATCGTCGTCATCGTCGTCATCGTCGTCATCGTCGTCATCGTCGTCATCGTCATCATCGTCATCATCAGCATCATCAGCATCATCAGCATCATCAGCATCATCAGCATCATCAGCATCATCAGCATCATCAGCATCATCAGCATTATCAGCATCATCAGCATCATCAGCATCATCAGCATCATCAGCATCATCAGCATCATCAGCATCATCAGCATCATCAGCATCATCAGCATCATCAGCATCATCAGCACCACCACCATCGCCACCATCACCATCACCACCATCACCACCATCACCACCATCACCATCACCACCATCACCACCATCACAATCACCCTCACCGTCAGCATCAGCATCAGCATCAGCATCATCATCATCATCATCATCATCATCATCAGCACCATCATCATCATCATCATCATCATCCTCATCCTCATCATCATTATCATGATCATCCTCATCCTGTTTCAACCAGGTCTTGCTTCGGGGCTTGGGCTTTGATGTGGAGCTCACCTCAGCTTACGCCCTCGGCTGAGAGGGGCCCCGCAGAAGGGGCATGGGACCGGAGATTGGACGAGATCAGGTCTCAACTGCCCATTTTTGGCAGCCCCTCAATTTGTTGGTCAGATTTGACCATCAGAACTGAGTTAACTGCAGGTTCTGGGCAGTGCCTGAATCACATTTGACTTCCTTTCAGCCATTTTTCAAACCGCCCAAGGCATACCTGTGTGAGTTGGAATCTCAGCTTCGAGATTTTTGGCGCAGACCATTGATACCATCAGAGTCCTTGGTTACTGGTCACTGGTCGCTTTTTCGTCCGCTTTCAGATTCAGATTTCTCCACATGTTTTTCTGGCACTCAATGCCCAGTTGAGGTTTTCTTGGATGCTGGGAAGCAGTGAAAGCCAAGTTCTTCGGTCTGAGGCTTAGGAACCTTTTCAGCAGCGATGAAAATCAGCAGTCTTCAAAATTCATCTTGGTTGATGATTGTAGGGTGTTATACTGGGATCAGTTTGAATATATACTGATGGTGAAACTTCTGTTAAACACTGAGGTTAGCATGGACGCTTCTGAACGATGCTTTCCGATGTGCCAAGAGCTGCAATCATTCAAACTACTGGCAGTTTTGAAGCAACCATAGAGCCATAGAGGTCTACACAGCTTTGAGGGGATGCTCCAAGATGATCAAGAATCAAAATGTTCTTGGAGTGAGTTGCAGGTGCTAGAAGTCATCCTGAACATGTGAGTTCTTCTTGATCATTGTTTCTTTGCACGTGACATCCTCATTTTCAGGCCATGTAAAATGCCTGTATGCATGATCCCCATTTAACTAGCTAGGTAACCTAGGGATGGGTCAAAATCATTGATACCCAAAAATGATGGTTTCAGATCCCACATTGTTGACACAGTTCCTTGGGAGTTTTTTTTTCCTGAAAAATATCAAGGAAGCTGATGCTTTCTGAGAACATCAACTATCAGAACTAGAAAATTGACCGAGATAAACCCCGTGTTTTTTCCGTCAAATACTTAGATCATGATAAACCGCCTAAATAAGTTTCCTCTTCCACTATTATGTTCCCTTCAGCTTCTCACAATCCTAGACTTGAAGGAAAACTTACAGGGTTTACCAGTTTACCCCCATGTTCATGGTAAATTCATGCTTTGACACCAGGATTTTCCTGTCGATTTTCCTACTAATCAATGGATTGGTTGAAGTGCACATCTTATATAACCGGAACCCAAGGTGTTCTCACCCACAAAAGAAACCGTTTGCAAGATCTCTCATCATCCAGCGCTGGGGTGTGACACAGTCTTTGGAAAAAATCTGAGCATTCAACTTCGATAACCCTCCAAGAATTTGTCATGGGCTTGCTGGAAAATCCCCATTGAGTTGGATGATTTTCTAATTGCGATTTTTTCGATCGGGGATTTCCCAGCTAGCCGTGTTTGATGACACCAGAGGGTAATTCCATTCAGCACCATCTTTGGCCATGGTGTGTGGAAGATTTTTCCTATGAAATTTCCCAATGTCTGATTGAGCATCCCACTATATCCCCATTCAATCCTCATTCAATCACAATTGAAGTCCATGAAACTCCATTTAAATGCCATTAAATTCTAACATCCCTTTAAATTCCATTAGATCTCATTAAATCAGGTTGTAAAAATATCTAAAATCCCTTGAAAAAATCAATTTTGTATCCGAAACTCCCATGAAAATCTGAGTCGTTGAGGGTTAGACCCCCACATTTCTCCACCTTCGCCAGGCGAAATCTGCGCCATGGCTTCTTCGGATCGGCTGGCGCTGGGCTGTTTGCTGCTGGCGCTGGAGCTGAGTCGACGTGTCACCTGGAAGCGAAGAAGTGAAATGTCGTGAAATTTCGGGGAATTTCATAGGGATTTTCATGGGATTTTGATGGAGGTCAATGAGTTTTACTGGAGTTCAATGGGATGTCATGTGAGACCAGTGAACCAACAAGCAGCCCGCCCTAAAGATGCACAGTTAAATCCTACTGAACTTGTGGCTAATCGAACTTCTGCATTTTTTCAAGAGTTTTGCCAATCAAAAGAGGATTTAATGGGAGTTAAGAACTATGATGGTGAATAGTAAATAGCTAAGCTTAATTGCTGCTTGATGGCTGTGGAAATGGAGATTGAATGGAATTTATCCCTTGAAGATTGGATGCAAAGGGAATTGATGGGAACCGCTAGTATAAAGCGACTTGACCAGAAAAAAATGGCAACATGGTGGAAATAACCTTTTGAATATAACCTTTTGTCTCGGTCAACGTCGCATGTTTGTTGTTTTTCATGATGGGTACATCAAGTGTGCGACTGTCTTATCAATAAATATGGTGGGAATATGGGGAACCAACACTCATCCATTTTTATGCTGCATATATAGCAGACAATGTAGCGGATGTTCGTGGGATGTGAATGGGGTGTTTTTTAATGGGGTTGGGATGGGGTTGGGATGGGGAGTGATTTGCAATCCATGCCAACCCAGGATTACGAAAAGCACAAAATCTCAATCGAACCACAAAAATTGGTGATTCAATGTTTTCCCTGCTTTATTTGACCCCCGAAAGCAGAGATGTCTGGCTGCACTTTGCAGGGAAAGACAATCTATAAATGTGGCTCCACAGGGTTTTTCCAGCTAGCCATTTTTTGGTTAACACTTGAGTTAAGAGAAGCACTTTGGGGACAGGTCGATGCCTACTGATAAAAGGGGGACTGCTTTGCCGATTGACATGGCTGGTTGTGAACTGACCCCATGCACTGGAAATCCCCACGAACAAACCATTCTCAAGGGATGACTCATTGGGTTGGTCTACTCTAAGGCAACATCTTCACCGGAAACCATAGGTTTTACAACCTCAGATTCCATGGGTTTCCCTGCAGATTTCCTCTTGATTTGTCGTGCATTGCCCAAAACCAAGTCCCCAGTGTAGGATTTCAGCGACCATGTGATAGAATGGCACAAAGCAGACTAGTTTTCATTTGATTCTTTTAAATATTGACATTTATCCCTATATATGATTTGAATATATATATATATATGATAGATTATATATAAATATATCATAATATATCTATATATATAGTATATAATATTATATACATGGTATACTATATATATGATGTCATCCATGGTTTCCCCATCCCATCCTCAGTGACTCAGGTTCCTTCCCTGCAGCTGGAGGCCGCACAGTTGTCGTCGCGCCTGGAGCGACTGCTGCGAGAGCCGCAGCTGGAGGAGTTCCTGGGGCTTGGTGCGGGCGGCGAGGAGATCGAGGACGGGCGGAGATGGGGTGGGTATATATACAGGGTTGGTAACTGTCCCATTTTGGATATATTGGACATCACCTTATAGTAGCCATTATAGACCATATACCTAATGGTTGGGTGATGTTCAATGGGGACATTTAATGACCCATGATATATATATATATATGATATACCCTCTGGTAAACTAACATAGCTATTGAAAATGGTGATTTATAGTGGATTTTCCCATGGAAAATGGTGATTTTCCATAGCTATGTTAGTTTACCAGAGGGTAATGATATATATATATATGAGCTATGGTCAATACTCATGGTTAATAACCATTAATAGGGGCTAGTCATCCAATGGTTCATAGGGATTTATAATAGGAGGGCTAATTATTTTAGGATTTTTTTTTTGATCAGGTTTAGGAATTATTTTTGGATTCCTGCTTCTCTGCTTTTCCTGCTTTTCCTGCTTCTCTGCTTTCCTGCTTTTCCTGCTTTTCCTGCTTTTCCTGCTTCTCTGCTTTTCTGCTTTTTTGCTTTTCTGCTTCTCCTGCTTCTCGCCTTTTCTGCTTTTTTGCTTTTCTGCTTCTCCTGCTTCTCTGCTTCTCTGCTTTTCTGCTTTTTTGCTTTTCTGTTTTTCCTGTTTCTTTGCTTCTCTGCTTTTCCTGCTTTTCCTGCTTCTCTGCTTTTCTGCTTTTCCTGCTTCTTTGCCTTTCTGCTGTTTTGCTTTTGTGCGTTTCCTGTTTCTTTGCTTCTCTGCTTTTTTGCTTCTCTGCTTTTTTTTTGCTTTGCCTGCTTTAAATACTTGATTTTCATGTAAGATGCATTTTGCACAGTATTTACATCCCTGAGTATCACATGACCAACCTTCTCTTGAAAACTAGCAACGTAACATGTGAGAAGAGGTGCTTGCATTCTGCTTTGGGGGGAGGCGCTGCGCCCTCCCCCCAATCCCCCCCTCCCGCTTTTTTTTAATTTAAACTTAAACCCAAGTTACATTAGTTGGTTTTTGCGAACTAACCTTCTCTGGAAAGCTGACAGGATTACATGTGATAGATAGATAGATAGATAGATAGATAGCTTGGTAGATAGATAGCTAGATAGATAGATAGCCAGCTAGATAGATAGATAGCTAGAGAGATAGATAGCTAGATACCTCGATAGATAGATGGCTAGATAGATAGCTAGATAGATAGATAGCTAGCTAGATAGATAAAGAGGTAGCTAGATAGATAGCTAGATAGATAGATCGATAGATAGAAAGCTAGATAGCTAGATAGCTAGATAGATAGTTAGCTAGATAGCTAGATAGGTAGATAGATAGCTAGCAAGATAGCTAGCTAGATAGGTAGATAGCTAGATAGATAGATAGATAGCTTGCTAGATAGATAGCTAGCTTGCTAGATAGATAGCTAGCTCGATAGCTAGATAGCTGGATCGACAGCTGGATGGCTAGATAGATAGATAGCTAGATAGATAGAAAACTAGATAGCTAGATAGCTAGATAGATAGTTAGCTAGATAGCTAGATAGGTAGATAGATAGCTAGCAAGATAGCTAGCTAGATAGGTAGATAGATAGCTAGATAGATAGATAGCTTGCTAGATAGATAGCTTGCTAGATAGATAGCTAGCTAGATAGCTAGATAGCTAGCTAGCTGGATAGATAGCTAGCGCCCTCCCTCAATCCCCCCCACCCGCTTTTTATCTAATCCCAAGCTTCCGCATCTGTAAATATTTGGGTGAACATGCTCACATGTAGAACATCCCATGCAAAATGGAAGGTGAACATGCCAAAATGTGGCAAATACCATACAAAATGGAAGGTGAACATGCCCACATGTAGCAAATCCCATGCAAAATGGAAGGTGAACATGCCAAAATGTGGCAAATACCATACAAAATGGAAGGTTAACATGCCCACATGTAGTAAATCCCATGCAAAATGGAAGGTGAACATGCCCAAATGTGGCAAATACCATGCAAAATGACAAATTCAAGTTCCAAACCGTTGCAAACACTAGGCAAATGGTACCAGCCAAGAAATCCAAAAAAAAATCCCAAACCTGTTCAAAAAAAAAATCCTAAAACTATTTCACACCCTTTATAATAACCATTATAAGGATCCTTATTATGGATGGGATGACCATCAACCATATAGTGAGTATTGACCATGGCTCATATGATATAATGATATATATATATATATGATAGTTAATGATAGTGACATGGAATGCGGTCTATGATAAATCAAACTAAAGTACACATACCACTTTGAATGTATTGAATATCATATTGATATATGTATACGCATGAAGATACATGTATACAAATGTACAGAGAGAGATATTCACGTGTATCTGAATTCATATATATATATAGCTATATATACTTGTGCAAGATGATATCGTGGCATATCGAAGCAGACTTCGGAGAAGGGTCATGGATTATTTAGGCTGGCCTGCGCTATGAAGAAGGATTGACTTTGCAATGGATAACCAGTTTGCAGAGGTCTTGGCATTTGATGCTGTGCCAGTGCATCCACACAGACTTTCCATGCCTGAAGGCTCACTTTCTATCTTGGCACCGGTGGAAATCTTGAAGATGCATCCATGCTTGCCATGGCAGCTTGCCATGGTGAGGCACTAAGCATCTGAAAAGGCAAGTGGATCTGGGCTTAAAGCATGTTCCCATTCGAGGGTCTCATGCTGGATCGATGATCCAGGACAATCACCAAAGTCAGCGTCCCACATATCTGGGACCTGCCGACCTGCCACTAGTTCTTGGTTTCCGATGTTAGACTTACATCAACAGCAGCCTGGCTGGAGATGCCACATATGTTCAGTTTGCTTTCTCTGAGATCGTAATAATGTTGCCCACAGATCAAAAGAGAAGTGTTGGGTTCTTTTCCTCATGAGGGTGGTTCCCCTCATAAGCAGCTGATCATCGCTGAAAAGATCAGTGGTGGGACACCGGCCGGCACACGTGATGCAAAAGGACATTTGCCGAGATCTTTTGGCAATGTACGAAGACGTGGCAGACAAAGAAGGCGCGGGGATAATTCTTTTTGTCAAGGTGATATGAAGATTGGCCAAAATCAAGAAGCCGAACATGCATTGGATTTGCTTTGAACATCGACAGTTTTGCGTCCCTGATTCTTATCCATATGCATAGCCAAAGCAAAGCATGAGAGGTTTCCTGCAAGTGCAGCACACAAGAACGTTTCGGGGAGAGAGTTCGCTAAGGTTCTCTGTTACCTTGCAGTGATGAGGAAAAGGGGCGGCAGCAAACAGGCTTGCGGAAACCAAAGTGATTTGTGCCACAGGGTTTTTTACATACAAATCCTTGTAATTAAATGTAATTCATCTCAATAAAAAATGCCTGCGACAGGTTTCAACAATTTTCAACAAATCATCTGATGGTCCTCATGAAACATTGCTGGCTATAGATTCTATAGATCATCTGATGGGCCCCCGAATTAAAAACCCGAAAACTCCAGCCGAAGTCACCCGAGTTCGAGGCTTGTATCTTTAAAAAATCATCATGAGTGTGTCTGAAAATGGGCTATTCCCAATCTATGATGCATGTATACATATACGTATATTATACGTATATACATACATTTTGATGGTAACAATCATGACTGACCCGGGGAGTTTGAGGGGCCCAATTTTTTGGGCCACCCATGGCCACCCAAGACCCCACATCTGAGGTTGACCTGCAACAGGCGTTTGTGCGCATGGGTGGATCCCGACATGTGCGGGAGCTCAGCAGCAGAGTTTACACATGGCGAATTTGTGGTGCAAAAAACCAATTTCTGATCAATTTTAAGAGGTAGACATGGCATTTAACAATTCTTGGACATGAATTTATGAAAACAAACTATATCAAAAAAAGGAATAAGTGGACTGAGAAACGCTAAGCACCAAAACTCAACTGAGTCATTTTGGATCACTTCAATCAGATCTAAAAGCATTTGTTGGAAACAAGCCTAAATGAAGAGTCAATTCAACTAAAGTAAGAAAAAGTGTCAGAAAAAAGTCAAACGATAGAAGCTATAGAAGGAAGAGCGAACCAAGTTTTAGATGACTATTTATAAAACCGGCATCTTCAAATGTAACTCTCTTTTTTTTTTGAGACCCACAAATGACGCTATTTATTGCTTTGCAATAGCTGCCGGATGGATTCCATTGGTTGGTCTTGCAGGCCTGCCACATGATGATGTTGAGGTTGCACGTACAGAGCTCAGGTGTAGCTCGCGTCATGATGACTCGTCATGAGAACTGGGGGCTACCCCCAATGACTTTTTGGACACAAAAATGTCGAAATGTTGCTGTCTGAGTTGAACTTCACGGAGGTTTTTTTGATGTGACGAAAGACCCCCCGGTTTCCAAGGACGAACGAATTGTAGCGCAAGTGGTACGGAGCTGATGCAGCGTTTGTTGTTTCACTGGAGGCTTGAACTTCACGGCCAATTTTCATGGGGATTTGCAACTTTTGAACTGTAAAAAAAAACACTGGAGAGTTGGTGGAGGAAAAATCTACCGCTTTCGCCATGGGACTCCCCATGCTGAGATTCGCCTACTGGCTGCCAGCGTGGAGAATGCGCCGTTGGCCGCCGAGGCATCAGCCGTTGTTCTGTCATAAGAGTTGGTAGGGCACCGAAAAGGAGCAGAAATCTCGTGGCTTTATATTTGGGGGAAGAAATTGATGGTTGGGTAGTTGGGTTGAAATATCCCCTGTGTTTGGACTCATTCCATCACCTAGGAACCATGACGTGGCCAACCAGGGCTGGATGGGCTGTGCCCATTTCCCATTGGTTGTTCATGAATTGAGTGCAACCATTTCTAGATGTATTGATGATACACGGAATACCACGCCGGTTCCCAAACCTACTATATTCTGATACACCATTTAAACGATTTAAATCAGAATGTCAGAAAATATGCCAGAAAGAATATCAGAGCTACATAAAATGTCAGATGTGAATTAGTATATATCCCAAACGGACCAAAACTAACTAGCCGACTCCCCAGAAGAATGTGATTGGATCAGGCGTTGATGCGCGACAATTTGGACAACGTGAAGCTGGTCATGCGCTCCATGGAGCGACATCTTGCCTGTTGGGATACTTAGGTGGGCTGATTTGCGCATTACTCATGAGCCGGGTTGCAAAACAGAGACGGGTGGGTTCAAACCAAAGTAACACCATTTCAAACAACATAGATACTATATGCTATATGAAATCCGTAGTCTGGAATTTTAGATGGACCCAGTTCAGTCTAAATTTATGCCCGAGTTCAGAAATTCTGGCTGGGGAAATAAACTAGACTGAAGTGATTTTGTTCAAATCCGCAACTTTGCAGCACGAAACAAAAAAATCTTTCAATCTCAGAGGTTTCATCCACACACACATCAACAAAGCACCCACTGTCGATAGATGCGTCAAACATAAAGCCTCTGGCCATCATGATTTGAGACAAACTGGCAGCATAGGACAGCTTCCATTCCTCGAGGGCCTCAAAGGATCTCACACGGGTTTACAGCCAAATCGTCGCAGAGCCTGGTAACCATCCATGAAAACAACTCTCACCAGTCAGCCAGGACGAGAACGATTGCTAAGTTTTTTGAACAACATGTGTTTCGTTTTTTTTTTTGCCCGTTTTTTTTTTTGCCCGAGTTTTTCCTGTGACAAAAATATGCATCTGGAAAATTATTGCCCAAGTTTGTCACAAAATAGGCCCTGTCCATATCAACATAAAACGTTTTTTGGCTCGTCAGCTCGTCACAGAAAAATCTGGACAACACAGTGCGTCACTCCTAGGCCTCTACTGTGCAAAGGACCAAGACTGGTTTCTGAGTTGCTTTCCATCAAATCTTGTTCATTCAATTTCATTCAGAACTATAAGTAGTAGATATAGTAGTAGTGGTTGCGATGGACTCTAGTATTATGACCCCGTGTAGAACAGAGAAAGTGGATTTTAGCATTTTTTTTTTTTTTAAAAACAAAAACAGAAACAAAAACAGAATCACCAAAAAAACAAATCGACAGGAAGAAACAGAAAAAAAACAAGAAAAAAAAAAAATCAAAACTGCGGAAAATGCAGGTTTTGATTTTTTTGTTTTTTTTGTTTTTTTCTTGTTTTTTTCTTGTTTTTTCCTTGGTTTTGGTTTTCTAGTTTGTTTTTTTTGTTTGCTCTAGTTTTTTTTTTTTGTTTTTTTATTTTTTTTGTCAAACCCTATATTCTCTGTGTTGTTGGACTCATAACTCTAGTAGACACTCAACCCGATGACGCTCTTGGTCAATATGAATTAAGATGTTTCACTTGTGTTTTGGCCAGCCTTTATCCTAGAATCAGACTAAGTTCACCAGATTTGTGCCTGAATTTGTTAAATCTGCCCGAACTTGTCCTCAGTGTGATTTTCTGCCCGAATTGCATTCAGTCTGATATTTGCCTTCAGTCTGAAATTGTAGCCCAAAAGATTGCATATAGATTGTATGTATATAATATTATATATAGAGAGTATACCCCTAACATTGGTTATCATCTCGTTTTCTAGCACCGCAGTGGTGGCTTGAGGGAATCCACTTTTGAATGCTCCCGTAGCGGTTTTCTTGCACCCCATGCTCCAAGGTCCAGAAGTTTCGGAGGCCGGCTGCCTCCTGATAGGACACCTTTGTGGGATACCTCAGATCGCCAATCCACACAAGTTCCAATGTTGTGCGAAACAAAAAGGGGACTTTCACCTTAAAATGGCTGGTTTGAATATATAAATTGAAATCATGATAACCAAAAATTCTTTATATAAAGTGATATATTCAATTTCCCCAATGTTTTCACCAATGTTTTCCTATGGGATTTCTTTTCCCCAAAAAAACTCCAGGGAAGTCCAGCTGGTCGAATTTCTCCCACTTTCAGAGTCACCACCCAGGTTCCTGCACTGCCACCAAGACGGGCGATCTGATGCCGGTAGGAGGACTCAGTGACAGCATGAAAATCAGAAACTTGTAATGCAGGATGGTGATTATGGTTCTCTTTGATGATATTTTCACCACAGAAATCAACCTAATCATCATATTGCAACAAAAATGGGGTTGGTACTTGACGATCATTGCATTCTTGGACATTCTTCACTGCTGTGGCATGCACAAGATGAGACAAGTCGTCCCAGTCGTGGCGTAAGACGGCAGCAGTGCCGGGTGCAGGTACGAGTGAAGGCTCATCGAGATAGTCAGAACAACCTTTGCAGGGAAGGAGCGCCAGATGCTCAGTTCACTCTCTGCAGCTGGGTTTGTCTGCGAATAGGTAGCCTTTGATTGGTGAATTTTCCAAGGTTCCCTTGGCCATGAAATGAGAATGGGGGCATACCCAATTTTCACAGCCAGTCGGCCCAAGTGGTAGACAGGTCTTGATTTTTGGGTCCCAACATGTCTTCAGCTGGATGACTTGGGGATCCCTTAAAGTTTTCAGCCCAGGGTGGAGATCATCGTGGATGTCATGACCCTGTATATGAAGGAGGCGGGTCAAGCCCACATGTCTGGCTGGTTGAGCACTGATGAACCGTGCAATGGTTGGCACTACTGGCACTACCTCAAGATGGAATCCAAGCCCCCAATCAAGTTTCAGGTGGCCCCACTATTTGTGAGATATTGTAAGCCCCAAGCCCATGAAATTAAGGCCAATGCTTTGTGAAGAACAGGCACAAGAACCTCAGGGCCAGTGCTGGTGTTTCTCTGAGGTGAGGTCTATGACAAACAAGGCCCACATGCTGATGCAGGAGTGGGAAACATGCCTGCGGGACTTGGCAAGCTTCGGAATTGACGGGTCCATGCAAGGAATATCTAGATCTTTCTCTGGTAACTTTCCAGCAAGATCATGCATCATTCTCATACACTAGCCTCAAAATAGCATGGGCCATCAGGCTTACTAGTATTGATATTAATAGTTTTTGCTGCTACTGTTATGTAAGACCATATTCCCGTCAGTGTTACACCCATAGGTAAACTCGGGGCGGGGCATCCAATCGATGTTGGGAGGAAAAGATGAAGGAAGCAGAAGGGCAGTCAGCAGCTCAGTGCGAGAGAGGACTTCGAAGTTGGAAATAAAGCTCTTTGAAGGTAGGGTAGGTGGCCGTGTCCAAAAAGAAGGAAGGCATATATCATGAACACCCTCATTGTATATGGCAGTGCTTCGGGACAAACCTAGAAGAATCTTGTTTGGTTGTTGGTGGTTTCAAGTCTTTTGCATCCTGAAAATGCGCAGCAACAACTTTCTGATCGGATGGAAACTCCAGCTGGTGGATAATTGCTGGTTGGGTTGTTATCGTTTTTTAGTTCATCGAAGGAAGTTTAGAAGTCAAACTTCTGACAATATGGACAGGATGGAAAAGCAGAGGTGGGAAGAGTCAGAGAAGAGAAGAGAAGAAGAGAGAAGATCCAAGAAGAGAAAGAGTCAGAAAAAAGAAGATACAGGTGCGCGAAAAGGTAGAAAAGACGCGATTCACTATGTTTTTCCAGTGATTTGTGGCTCCGGAGGGTCGAAAAGTAGGCTCGCTAAAGCGGCGGGTGCGTAGCCAGCTGGCCAGATGAGATGTCGAAAAAGTGCACGCCGTTGTAGCGCGAAGCATATTTCCAAGCCAAAACGCACAACACCTCAGTGTCAGACTGCTTTTGGAAGTTTACATGTGGAAAAAGTGCACGCCGTTGTGGCGCGAAGCATACTTCCAAGTCAACATGTTAAAAGCACTACATGTTCGGACCACTTTTGGACGTTCAGATGTCGTTTTGCGTGGCGGGCGCAGGGGGTTGTGCACCTTGCCAAAAGCGTGCAAGACGTGACGGTTTTGTAGCAGTTTTAAAAACGATGGCAGGCATGGGACATTTGAAGAGGATAAAATGCATTTCGCATGGCAGGCGCAGTACCAGAGACATGTTCATCAGAGATGTTAGGAGGTCAGGGCGCTGATTTCCTGAGACGGGTTGCATTTTGGAGCATCAGATCTTCAGGTTTGCTAAGATGATTTTGTGTGACAGGTGCAGCACTTCGTATGACCTCGCATCACTGTTTCGTGGCAGGCGCATCACTTTAGACAGGAAGAGTGGAAAAAACGCAAAACGCATTGGTACGAGCCCGTCAGCTCTGCAGTCAACTTTCCATGTTTGAAGAAGTCTCGCAGACTTGCTTCTTTTTTTAACGTTGCGAACTTCAGAAATTGAGGATGTCTCGCAGAATTGCTTCGTTTTTGGCGTTGTCAAGTTAAACATTGAGGAAGTCTCGCAGAATTGCTGCGTTTTCAAGCTTGCAGATAGACAGATAGATAGATAGATAGATCGATAGATAGATCGATAGATAGATCGATCGATAGATAGATAGATAGACAACTACAACCACAACTACCACTACACTAGACTACAGCTACAACTACAAATGCAAATACACTACGCTGCATTACACTACACTAACTACACTACACTACACTAATTGCATCTAATTACGCTACACTACACCAATTACACTACAACTACAGCAACTACTACCACCACAGCTGCAGCTACAATTCCAACTCCACTCCATTACACTACGCTACACTAATTACACTGCAGTACGCTACAGCTACAAATACAACTACAACTACACTACATTACACAACACTACACTACACTGATTACATTGCATTACGCTACAACTACAACTGCAAGTACAACTGCCACTTCAGTACTAATTACACTACACTACGCTAATTACACTACACAACACTACACGCATCTACAACTACACTACTTTACACTACACTGCGCTAGGCTACATGACACTATACGCACTACAGTTCACAACACAACACATCACGACACAACACAACACAACGCAACGCTTCGCTACGCTACGCTACGCTACGCCACACCACACCACACCACACCACACCACACTACACTACACTACACTACACGTATTACACCGCACCACGGGTACAACTGCAACTGCGCTTGCAGCTACACTAATTACACTACATTACAACTACAACTCCACTACACTACACTACAATTACAACTACAACTGCAACGACAACTGCTCTACGCTACACTGCATCCAGCAGTTGTGGTGGGGTGACCACTGCAACCATTGCAACCACTCCAAAAACATATATAACTCCAACCACCTGTCGGCCCATCATCAGTGGATTCGCTCTGCCATCCGTGATTCACAACAACCAACCTCTCCAAGAGGTTTCCTATTTTTGAAGCTTCCGCCGCCGCCTTGTGCGGTGCCACTTGTATGCGTAGAATATTCCCTATAGTAACCCCATCTTTCGTGAGCTGCTTCACCCGCCAACCGTTTCATTTTATAACACCGATTTTTCCGTGTTGATTGGTGAAACGTTCCCGTTTTCCATCAAACCTCTGGATACTCTTGCGTGGCATTTCTTATGGTTGAGTTGATTTTGATTTTCCCCAATTTTCCCATCAACTTGCCCCGGCTTTCCCACAGTTTCCCAAAATTTCTCATGTAAGATGGGCCTTGGGGCCATTGAGGCGCCAGAAACAAGATGAAGTGGAGATGGGCTTGGCGCGGCCAGACCGGGTCGCGGCCGCTGGGTCAAGGAATGCTGTGGGCAAGGGCTGGCAGGGAGGTGAAGATGCTTGGCATCCTCTTTGCTTTCAAGGAGGTTCAGCACCACTTGTTTTTTTTTGGGTTGTTGATGGTTGTTGGGAGTTCTACAGCAGTTTTTTTGGGTCAAAATCGTTGGTTTAGGGGTTAAGATATCGCCCTTTGGGTGATGTTGATGGAAGAGACGACACACAGATCGCAAACAATTTGGTCAGTAACAAACCATTTCACTTTGAGGGTGCCCATTTTGACATATCTTAACCCGCTCAGATTATCTCAGAGCTGGTAATTCCTTGGGAATGATGCCAGCCTTAAAATGTTCGGCACCCAATATTTCCGCATCTTTCAACCCGGCTGTTTTGCCATCCCAAAGACATCTCAGCCAAGGTCAATGTCTTTGGAAAGATCGGTGGTGGATTGAAAGACCGCATCCTGAAAGTGCAGGCGAACATCGAACTTCGTCAGGCTGGATGTGGAGCTAAGACTCGAAGAGTGGTAGATATTTTAGGGCTTTTCTGGGGGAGATCAAGGAGCAAAAGCGGTGGATGTTGACCCTTTAATGAGCAAAACAGTGGGAAATGATGGGACATGTCCGTGAATTTTTGAGTATGTTTCAGCTTTTCAACTTTTGGAACTGAAGACTGAAGTCAAAAACTGTTGGAGCACACGGCCAGGCCTGGCAGAAGGTGTTGGATCGCGAGGTGAATGGTGGTGGGGAAAAAAGTTTTGTCAGCGGGGAGACCAATAGGAAACCACGGCAAAAATGGTGAAGAATGGTCAGTGATGAATGGTTACAATAAGGGTTAAAAATTGTTAATAATGTGGTTAATCATCTAGGAATAGTGATTGCAGTACCAATGCTTAATGGTTAATTAATGATGGTCAATAATGTCTAATAATGCTGATGACTGGTGATTAGTGGAGTTGCCCTTCAGTCATCAAACATGGATGGCTGGGAAATCCTCGCGCTAGATGAAGGCTTTGAAGCGAAAATCATCGACTAATGACTAATGCTGGATTTTCTAGCCATGTATGCTTGCTGGAGGGAAAACGATCCAAGTGCTGATCGATTTGTCAGGAAAAAGTGAAAGGGACTTTCCTTGCGACCTTAGATTCAAAAGAGGGGACATCTGGCAGTTTTCCTGGGAGGATGTGAGCGTGACTCAGCCCGTGTTCCTGTGACCACTGCCCCCTTATTCCAGGTCAGTGTTGGCCGCCTATTGAATGCTGCCTTGCAGGCAGGGGAGGTTCTAGGAGGACTCCTGGGCTCTGGCTTGAAACTGTGTATTTGTTCAACAGAAAATAGATCTGTCTCCACAGACGATCAAATATGTGTGTCCAGAAATGGTGTCATGCGGAAAATGATGATACACCACTGGATCCTGGCAAATTTGCAGTGGTTCCTTTCCCTGTCTGACATTCCCACGCTGAGGCGCTGCTTCTGCTGGTGGTCGGCAACCTGAATGCAATGCCGGCGTCTCAGTGACCGGCCTCAAAGTTTGGACAAACTAGCGAGACTTGAAAGAAATGAACGGGTTTCACTGGTTTCACATCGCAAAACTGCTGAATTCTTAGGGTCGGCTGGTGCCCCAATGGAAATGATGAGCCACATTAGCCAGATGATGTTCCAAAATCGCCATTGAACGATTTGAATTTCTCTACCAGCCCCGTCTCGCAGACGTCAGCTCTCTGGCAACTTCTACACCTACCACCTGAACAAACTACTGGAGCTGCTGTCAGATGTTATGCTTTCATCTAGCTGCTGTCAAGTGTCGAAAGTCACTTTTGATAGCGAGATCTTAGTATTTTTGGTTTTTAGTTCAGCAATAGACATAGTACTTCATAGCTGGCCAAGACTGTGCTGTGCCACGTTGCAAGGACCTGCAGGAGGAGTTTATTGATGCAGCAGCAGATGCTGTGAAAGAAACCAAAGACAGGAAGGCAGGGAGAAGATGACTGGCCGGTGGTATTGGGAGGATGACTGGCCGGACATTTCATGCTGGGATCATGGAGTTGCTTGGAGGTTTCGTGGGTTTATGAAGAATGTAGCCCAAGTATCAGGCAAATGCAACTAAGGTCAGCTTATAACTTATACCTCCTACTTTCAGGCTGACAAGTCGCTTTAAGATGGGGTATTTAGAGTGACTTGCCATGTGAGCGGTGTTCAAAACCCTTGCTAATGTTTATTTGGGGGCTATACTATCCAATATATTGCGGATGATCATAGGCATCATCGGAATTCTGTTCCCGACCGACCAGAACAATGGACTCATAGAGGGTTTTGAGCACTTGAGTTGTCAGATTATCACCAATTACTATGGATAGTTCGGATTTACATAGATTTACCAAGTATTCAATATGGACGTTTCCCAAAAAGGAGGGCTATTTTTTTTGTTTTTGTTTTTTTGTTTTTTTTGTTATCCAGCCTGGCTTTGTGGCTTTTGTGGCTTTTGTGGCTTCTGTGGCTTCTGTGGCTTTTGTGGGTGTGTGGCTTTTGTGGCTTTACCATGCTTTATCTATCTATCTATCTATCTGTCTGTCTATCTATCTATCTACCTACCTATCTATCTATCTGTCTGTCTATCTATCTATCTATCCATCTATCTATCTACCTACCTATCTATCTATCTATCTATGTATCTATCTATCGATCCATCCATCCATCTATCTGTCTGTCTGTCTGTCTATCTATCTATCTGTCTATCTATCTATCTATCTATCTATCTATCTATCTATCTATCTATCTAATCTATCTAATCTATCTAATCTATCTAATCTATCTAATCTATCTAATCTATCTAATCTATCTATCTATTTATCTATCTATTCATCTAATCTAACCCACTCTAATCTAACCCACTCTAATCTAATCTAACCTAATCTAATCTGATCTCATTTTATCTTGTTTTATTTTGATTTATCTTGTTTTATCTTGTTTTATCCTAATCTATCTAATGTATCAAATCTATCGTATCTATCTAATCTACCTATTCTATCTAATCTAATCTAACTAATCTATCTATTGAATCTGTCTATTTAATCGGTCTTTTTAATCTGTCAATTTAATCTGTCAATTTAATCTGTCAATTTAATCTGTCTATTTAATCTGTCTATTTAATCTATCTGTTTAATCTAGCTATTTAATCAAGCTATTTAATCTATCTATTTAATCTAGCTATTTAATCTATCTATTGAATCTATCTAATTAATCTATCTATTTAATCTATCTATTTAACCTATCTGTTTGATCTATCCATTTAATCTATCTATTTAATCTATCTATTTAAGCTAACTATACAATCTATCTATTTAATCTATCTAATTAATCTAATCTATCTGTCTAATCTATCTAATCTAATCGAATCTAAACTAATCTTAATCTTAATCTAATTTAAGACAATCTTACCTTATCTTATCTTATCTTATCTTATCTGTCTATCCATCCATCCATCCATCTATCCATCTATCTATTTACCTATCTATCTATCTATCTAATCTAAACTAAACTAATCTAATCTAATCTAATCTCCCTCTCCCTCCCTATCTATCTATCTATCTGTCTGTCTGTCTGTCTATCTATCTATCTATCTATCTTTCTTTATATACACACATTGTGTATCCCTACATGTACCTCAATCCAACCCTCAACAGACATTAAACCGACCATAAACCAACCCTAAATAACCATAAATAGCCCTAAATCACACCAAATTACCCTAAACCAGCCATGAACCAACCCAACATAACCCTCCTCAATAAACCCTAAACCCACCCTAAACTAAATAACCCTAAAACAACCCTAAACTAATCCAAATAAAGCCTAAACGAATCCTAAATAAACCCTAAACCAGCCCTAAATAAACATTAAACCAACCCTAAATAAACCCTAAACCAGCCCTAAATAAACATTAAACCAACCCTAAATAAACCCTAAACCAACCCTAAATAAACCCTAAACCAACCCTAAATCGACCTATTCCAACCCTAAATAAACCCTAAACCAACCCTAAATAAAGCCTAAACCAACCCTAAATAAACACTAAACCAACCCTAAATATACCCTAAACCATTCCTAAATAAACCCTAAACCTGCCCTAAATAAACATTAAACCAACCCTAAATAAACCCTAAACCAACCCTAAATAAAACCTAAACGAATCCTAAATAAACCCTAAACCAGCCCTAAATAAACATTAAACCAACCCTAAATAAACCCTAAACCAACCCTAAATAAACCCTAAACCCACCCTAAATAAACCCTAAACCAACCCTAAATAAACATTAAACCAACCCTAAATAAACCCTAAACCAACCCTAAATAAACCCTAAACCAACCCTAAATAAACCCTAAACCCACCCTAAATAAACCCTAAACCAACCCTAAATAAAACCTAAACGAATCCTAAATAAACCCTAAACCAACCCTAAATAAACACTAAACCACCCCTAAATAAACCCTAAACCAACCAACACTATGATAGCATCCACTGCCACTATTTCGACCCAACTCGGTCGTGCTTCAACCTATATTCTACATGTTCACCAGGTGCATGTTATGCATGGACAAATCGATGGGAACCATGGAAAAATCCATTGAAACAATGGAAATCTCAATGAAAACTATGGAAACATCGATGAACACTTTTGGTAAATCAATGCCGGCTAAAACCATGGAAAAATCGATGAACAGTGCAAATGGCACATTTTAGCTCCAAAATTCAGCAAAGTACAGGTTTTTGCTCCAAAATGTAGCAAATAGCAAGGAAAAGTGCCCCAGACTGAAAAACAAAAAAATCTAAAAAAAAACAAAAAAATCCATGCACCCGTTCCTAAAATGGGGGTACCTCCAAATCATCCATTTAAATAATATTTTACATTATACACCATCCAGCTATTGGGGTACCACCATTTATGGAACCCCCCTTCCATATGTGCCAGGATGCTCGACGCGGTGTTCTACGGGATGAGTCGGATGGCGAGGTACGTGAACCCCAAAATTTCAGGATTGGCTGGTAATGAAGTTAGTGTGTATTATTGTATTTTATATATTCTTATATTGCATTTGACTTTCTATTTTTTTGGGGGGTAAGGGCCTCACCAAATGAGCCGTTCTGGAAACCTCCCTTTACAATTTTAGTAACGGCCTTGTCATAACGAGTTTGGCGTAAGCAAAACCCTCACTTGCGTAAAGCCGCGCAAGGACTTGGCGTAAGGGCTTCCTCAATTTGCTCCGCGTAAGGGAAAAAACCACGCGCGTAAGCTCTGGCGCACCCAAAATGATGCGACATAGCGAGTGACTGAAGGTTTTTAGAATGGCTCAAATGGGGGACTAGACCGAGTTCTAGTGGCACCACCAGCGACATTCTGGTCATTCTGTCTGAGGATGCTCCAGACAAGGGATTGAGGCATGGACGATATGGACGTGGAGTTTTTGGGAGCAACGACAGCAGTCGGCAGTTTCCATAGTCATGGGGGTTACCCCAAAATGGATGGATTGCTTTTTCCATGGAAAATCCGAACATCCCATCTAAAAATGGATGAGAACTGGGGGTACCCCCATGACTTAGGAAGCCACCAGATTGAGAGCAAGAAGAACAAGCAGAAAGAAAGGTTGGATAAGACATGCTAAGACTGAGAAGACCGATTCTTGTTGGTATAATGAATGGATTGGTTTAAGGGAAAATTTGCAGGAAAGCCCCATATTTAATGGGAAAATCTATGGTTTCCTGTAATTTTTCCCTTAAACCAATCCATTGATATAAAGCTCAACCTATTTGTGAAAGCAGAGCAACACGAGCATCAGAGACTTCCAACGGCAGGATTCGTGGCAAAGTTGGTCGTGTGGAAGTTCCTGAGGGTCAGGCCCAGAATCGTCGAGAAGTCTCTGAAAATTGGGGGATACCCGGGATACCAACACCGGGATACCCAGGATACCCCTAAATCGCCATTGGTTCATCATGGTTTATCAACATTCATAAGGAAGATGTTGGATAAGCCAATGATCAACCTTTGGATTTGGGGTTATAACTTTGGAGCCATGGATGGCCAGCGAGGAGCGACGATCCATGTTGTCGCGCTAGTCTCAGAGGCATCACAACGATCAGATTGCACGCATTGATTCAAACGTTGTTCATGTACTAAAAGACTTACTAAGACCTATTGAGAGAATTTGAGACGATTTGAGACGATTGGAGTGGAATCTCTTCCAAGTTCCTCACCGCTTCGCCAGCGATGCTGGCACTAAGGGTCGAATCCCTCTCCTTGAAGTGCCAGGTTCTTGTTGATGCCCGATTCTCGGACAAAAGGACCAGCTGAGGGCAGCTGAATATCACCATAAGGGCCGTGAAGATTGAAGGCTTGATCTTTGGAGCAGGTTGAAGGCCCTATTAGCTGTTCAACTGGTTGGACCATGGATGAAAAAATATAATCCAAGAATATCCAAGATATTAAGGCCTATTTTTGGTCTTCATCTTCCAGTTTGAGGGTGCCGAATGTTGACACAGTGCACTGTGTGCACGGTGGCAGTCACGTCCGACGGAGATTCCCGTTAGAAAAAAATCCCATAAGTACTGTATTCCATGAAATTCCAAATCCCCTTAACATCCCCACAACATTCCGAAGTATCCCATGTTGGCTTTATTAAGTATCCTATGTATAGTATAGTATCCCATAAGGATATATAAGGATCCCATGAATATATCCAATATGATCTACTACATATCCTATAAATTCCTGTAACTATCCCATGAAAATCCCATAAATATTCCCTTAACATCTCCACACCATCTCCTGAACGTCCCCCCACATTTTTCCCATTGGGTATGGGGATGATTTCTCACACTGAGGCCCTGCGTGGGCACGCGGCCAAAGATCGCCCGAAGATTGTGTGCAAAGCCTGTGGCTCTGGCGATTTCTGGATGTGGAGATGGGTCAAGTTACCTATGAAATTATATACCATATACACCATCTTTTTTGGGGAATCCACTCACCGGCTACTGTGGGGGTCCACCTTTTTGGGTAGTTTCATCCCCTACTTGGCTGCTGGGTGTACCCGATTCTTGTGCTTGAATTGACGGGTTTCTGGATTCGACATGCAATTTTGCGGCTGTTCCAAGTGCCACTATTGGAAGTAGAATCAGTTGATTTCCACCCCAAATTCCCAGGCTTTCCTTTGCTCCCACAATGCTAACTTCAGGACTCAGTTTGACAGCTGCCAGCTGCCAGGTCGCCTCTTTCTGTTGATCCTGGAGCAGGGCGGCCAAAAGCGATCTACCTGGGGGAGGGGATGACAGCAATCTGACCATGGAAGGAACACGGAGAAGATAGGGCTGGCTCTGGTACGAAGGAAAGAGACCAAAAAAATGTCACATCGGGATGTGCAGCCACTCACACTGAGGCACCACAAGGGTCTAATTTGCAAGGCCAGATGCTTTACATCGCTGGTGAACTACAGATAAATCCACAGTGGGTGCTGTTATAGCCACAGTGAATTCAGTGGGGCAAGTAGGGTTGGTCTTAAGTTGTAACTGGGGTGAACTAATCATTTCCAAATACTTCCAAAATGTCAATGTTGCAATAGCAATGGCATGGCTATGTTCATGTCTCGTGCTTTCTGAAGTGACATCGTGCCAGGCAAATGATCAGGGGAAAAACCAATGCCGACGGGTAGAGGCCGGGTGAAACCAATTTGTTCTCTGGTGCATGTCCTCTTTCGATCTAGCCTCCGGGCGATCCCTTTTCAAGTTCCTAGAAATCCCAAAGATTCGAACCTTTTTCCAAACTTTGCCTTTGGTTGTGGTTGCAGCTGGTTGCATCAAAATTGATGTATCAATAGTGCTGAGCATGGTGCCCTTCGGGAATCAGACGTGGCTAGCCGGGAAAAACCACATTTAGATCCATTTAGTTCAATGATTTTTCCACATTTTTCCCAATAAACTCCAGAAATGCCAAGCGAAGACTTACCGTAGCGCCTGCCTGCCGCAGCGCCCGGTTGACGTGTCGTCAGTTGCAGCTCCGGAAAGCCGTCCCGGACGACGATTTGAAGTTCCGGGACGTGGGGACCTCAATGGGAAGAGTGCTGCTGTCCTGCATCATTTTTCTGCTCGGAGTCCACATTTTTTTTGCCAGATAAAGAGGGTGGATCATATCGTCATACCGGTCTATACATGTCTATACTCATAGAACTGGATGATGAGAAAATTTACAGGAAACCCCTATATTTGATGGTAAAAACCATGGTTTCCTGTAGATTTTCCCTTAAACCAATCCATTGATATACGGTATTAGGTCAAGGTTTGAGACCATAAGCCTCGGATCACCAGGTCTTTCGACCGCTCGAAAGCATTGTCGCCGCCTTCATCGGGGTCTTGAAGACCCACAACGAGGTCCGCGCAACAACCCCGGGATCCGGCGCTCAGAGAATCTGGTGACAGAGATTTGTCAATTCTCCTATCTAATCATCGTTGCTGGGATCCGGCATCTCCCATATTTTGTTGGGTCCGGGAAGTCCGGGTTCTGCTTGGTGGCAATGCCAAAGTGTGTTCATTGCGTGGCCTTTGCGCTGGGGCTTCAAACACCGCCACCGCCGTGCAGAACTCACCGGTGATCAGCGTGGCTGGGATAGCTCAGCAAGATCACTCTGCCAGATTTTGTGACTGCTGGACTTGACAAAACCTGAAGTGACTGATTTGTATTTGCGATATGTTGCAGTTCCGAATACGTTGTTTCTTGAGTTCGTGGATGTATTTATGATTGATTATACTGGGAGTATATGGCAGTGTGTCAAAACCTTGTACCCCTGGTGAACATCAAAATAGCTGGTAAATGGATGTTCATCCCCCTAAAAATGGTATTAATAGGTATTGATCCATACCCATATATGATATTCGTGTACCTTCGTATTTGAGGTGAGTTCTGGTCCCAGAATTGGGACATTTACAGCACCCGAGGTCTTCTCGGTTCTGGCAAAGCTCCGAGCACGGGACCGAGTCTGGATGGAATGGATGGCAATCTGCTGCTTGCCACTAGTAACAATGAGTATAATGGCAAGAATTGTTACTATGTATAAGGTCTATAGAATATATATATATATATATTATACTTGTATGTAAAATTATATAAATACGTATAGATAGATATATTTAAGATGTTTTGATAAAGGTCCTATGTTTGAAATTTTGCGCTAGGATTTTTTCCAGATCTGGAGCTCAGGAACTGGCCCTTCTTTCTGTGTGGAAGCCTCAATTTCTGGGGGAAAGAAAGGCAAGAAATCTGAATTATTGTAGTAATAATAGCAAACTATAGTTACTATAGTCAATATATATATGCCGGATTTAACTATAATAGTAGCACTATATGGTACCACTATAATACGACTAGAAATATTGACAATTATAATAGTACTATATGGTATTACTACAGTAGCACTACTTAACTTAATACTGAAATAGCCACTATATATTGTAGTGGTATGATAGTAATACCGTATAGCCATATAGCATTAATAGTATAGTAGGGTGATATATATATATATAGATATAATATACACTTAACTTTCTACATTAGTATAGAGTCATCATACATATATATATATATATATGTATCATCATATGTAGCGGTAGTAACCCCCCAAAAGATAGAAATGTGAATCTGTACTGTTTCAATGAGGATTTACTTTCTATCTTTTGGGGATGACTATATACTATAGCAGAACACGACCTTATTTTTTGTTTTGAAACATGACATCGAATGCGCGATGGCATTGAAGCGAGATATACAGAGGCGAAGGTTGAGGAAGTCACTGTCCCATATCGATCAGAACTGAAATCTAAAACTGTCACTGGGAAATCCCAAAAAACCCAATGTTCAACAATAGATAGATCTCCTGAACATCGTTCAATGTCAAGGCCGGCTGGGATGCATCTGAATGGCTCCAATGCGCAGCAGCAATGGCAGGTCTGGGCCTGTGGCCGATCAGCACCCGCCACCTTATCGGGCATTCGGGCGGTAAAATCTCATGGGTTTTCCGGTCATGTTTGACCCAAAAAACCACGGCACAATGACATGGAACACTGAGGCGCTGCTCTTTGAAGCTGGAGGTCCCGAAACGGAGCTGGTGATTCGACAGGCGTGACGAAACTGGGAGAAGATGGTTCACTCCCCGCACAGTTCACCGTTTTTGTCAGGAAGGTGAATTATTCCAATTCAGCCAGAACAGATATACGACATGTATAGAAATATACACATACATAGTTTAGAGATGTTTAGAGGTTTGCCTGTATAGAATTGTATATTACATATAATCATGTGTATACGCATATACACAGCCTCAAGCGGCCTGTAGATAGTCCCCATAGGCGCCACATTGCGGCAATGCCATAGGATCTGCAAGATGTGTTACGCCTTGGCCAACTTGGTTTTGTTTTGGATTGCCGGATAGGTTAAAGAAAGACCAAGGAAACAAAGCGAAAAACACACACACACATGTATATATATATAGAGTTTGTTTTTCTTCTTTGCTTCCTTTTGTCCTGTTTTGTGATATACTGCTGGCCTTTTGATTCGCCCTCCATGCAGGCTTCGAAGCGTCTCCATCTTGCATTGGAAGAGACCAAGAAGGGTGTGCGGATACCCAGTGGTTCCAGCGGCACTGACTTTTCTGATTTTGGATCTGAGCTAAGACACAAAGATCTTGGGGATTCTCCAGCCAGAATGATCCATGGAGAGATTCAATAAATTCCACTGCTGATGGCTTTCAGCCAAGGATCATCGAATCGAGACCTTCAAGATTGATCCCAGCGAGATCAAGGGGAATGGCGCAGCTTGTCCAAGTCGTCTGCCGTGGAGCTGGCTTTGACGAAGGGATGAACACTGCGTGAAGAATCATGAAGATTCAGCGATTTTAACCAGCAAAAAACACCAGCTATTTTGGTGTGAAAAGCTAGAGTCACTCACTTTTTTTGAGCCGTGCCATCCAGAAAAAAACCCAACTTTTAATCAGAGACAGATTTTTTGCCATTGGAAATACCTCTGACTACTCTGTTGATTGGTTGAGTTAGGGAGCTACATTTTGATTGGGGATTGTGAATATTCCATAGGGATACTTATCGATGAACCAGTACAGTGGGATGGGCAACCAGTTGTTTTTCATGGATCATTGAGATCTTGAGCTCCAATCGAAAAACCTGGTTGGTGCCCCTTTCGCACTGGTCCGTTTGTTATAACAGAGCGGTACTCCTAGGTAGCTGGATGCCAAAAACATCCACTTCTCAAAACAAAAGCTGTCATGATAATAATAATGATAATAAATAATGATAATAAATAATGATAATTTATGATAATAATGATAATAATGATAATAATGATAATAATGATAATAATGATAATAATGATAATAATAACAATAATGATAATAATGATAATACTGATAATAATAACAATAACAATAATTTGAATAGTAACAATAATAATAGTAATAATAAATAGTAATAATAATAATGACAGACATAATAATAGCAATAATAATAGTAAAAATAATAGTAATAATAATAGTGATAATAATAGTAATAATAATAGTAATAATAATAGTAATAATAATAGTACAGTAATAATAATTAATAATAGTAATAATAATAGTAATAATAATAATAATAGTAAAAATAATAGTAAACATAAGAGTAAACACAATAGTAACAATGATAATGATTATATATATATACAGGTCCACAGCTACTTTTTTCCTGACCTCAGCTGCTTCCAGGAGTGGTTAACACCTCGCATGCGTGAGGAGGTTCAGGAAATGATCCAAATCGGCGAGGTGCCGTTTGCGTCGCTGATTGGATGGGTTACTTCGAACAACAAATGGGTAGGCAACAATTCAAATTTGCTTGAGAGGTGAATATCCAAATTATATCCAAATTATGTCCATATTCATGTGCTGAAGATCCAACTTTGATTTTCCGAGGGGTTTCAATCCACCTCCGAAAGCTCTGGGATCGCTGCAGGTGTTGGCTGCTGATGCTTTCAAGGCCAACTGGGAGAAGAAGGAGGACGAATCGTCGCCAGTTTTTCATCAGTCTTTACAAGAGAAATGGGAAAACCCAAGCTTTTCATCCAACATTGTTCCACATGGTTTTCTATGGTTTTCCCATTAACATCTCCATTGTTGGGTTTTGGGGCGGATTTGCTGATGCTTGTTCCAAGGAGCCAGAACGCTGGGAGAGGATCTATCAGAAGCAACAGCAGCTGCTGGCCCAGGCGAAATACAGGTGGGGCGCTGAGCGCTTGGAATTTGAGCCATTGAATACCACGGGTTTAATGAGATTTCATGGGATCTTAATCGGATTTTACCGGGATTTAATGATAAATTTAGTAGAAAGTATCACACATATGGAGAATTCATGAGAATTCATTGATAAATGAGAGTTGATGTGGTAATATATAGTGGCTTAGTACTGACTGGTTTGGGGATTCCTTGCCATCCCAATGAGTTCAGTCTGGAGGCTTTTTCAGCCTCCAAAGTCGGCCAGGGAAGACAAGAAAAAGGCCAAGGAGATGGGTATTGCGCGGGTTTCCCAGGTCCCATGGAGGCCTTGATCCCAGTCTCAGGGGGATAGCCATGATACCCGCATGGGCGACGGCATGGGGAGATGATCACTGATGATCCGATGGAAATGCTGATTTGCCCTAAATGTTCACCAAAGCCAGGGGATCCAGAGGCTCTGCCTCCGCTGTGATCATGCCATTTTGCCGAGACCTACGAAGAGTTCCACCAGCGTGAGTTGGAGGAACAAGCTCGGAAAGGCTCTGCTGCTATATACATTGGGAAGCGTTGTCCCCTTTGTTCTTCTAGGTCTAATGTGGGTAGTGAACACACCCCATCAAATATCTGGTAATTTATAGGTAGTCTCAATTGTTAACCAGAGTTAAGCCCGCATTTTGACGGTTTCGAAAACTCCCAAGCAGTAAACATGTTTCGACCATCGGGATGATTGAACTTACTGGACTAGATCAGGATTTAGTTTACTGCGGGTTTTTGTTGTACAGAAAGCCCCCCAAAACATGCAGAACGGGTTCACTTTGTCACTAAAAATTGGAATTGGATTTTCCGTCAATTGTTCTTATCCCATTATATCCATGCTTTTACCATGATATATCGCTATTTTTCATCCCGTGAAATTCCATGAAATCCCATGATTTTTCGTAAAGACCGGTGAAGTTGAGGGTTCAATCTCCCCATGTCCAATTTTTTCACTCTCATCCCTTGGCAATGGAATCGATCCTCCACGGATCAGACGCCGAAGAAGAGACCAGCAGCAGTGGAGTCTCCAGCTTCGATAGGGAGGAAAGACCGAAGCCAGGCCAGCGGATCGATAGCAGCTTTGACCCCAAAAAGGATAGAAAAGCAAAATCCAACTGAAATAGTTTTGGGGTTATATATATAATTATATGTATATATATATATTATAATTATATATTATATATATATGATATTATATATATGATTATAGTGATTATTGGGGCACTCTAAGATGATATGTATCATATAAGTAATTTTTTTCGACGGTTTTTTGGTTACATATATACGTACATATATGTATATATATATGATTATATATATATGATTATATATATATATTATGTTTATATGTTTATATGATTATATGATTATTTAAGGGCAGCCCGTGCCGCCGACCCCGGAAAAAGTTGAAGGATAGGCAAGACTTGCAGCAAGTTTTTTAAACTTTAATTTTGAAGTTTCAAATCTTGCTCTGCAAAAAAAAACGCAGGGAGCCTCGGAGAAGCTATGCTGCGTTTGTGTCTGGTTGTTTTCCTCTTTTTTTGGGGGCCTCAACTGAATTTAAAAGATGCGGTTTCATTTGTTTGTTCGAATTGCACGTGATAGGTGGTGAAGTAAACGTGGTCTTGGTAATGGTACTTAGTGCTGTGATGTTTTCGAGTAAGCAAACTCAAGATTTTCATGCAAGACTGACACTCGTATGGGCCAGGCAGTTTCAACATTTGAAACCTGTGCCCTGGATGATGTGTGCCGTATTGGGTGGTGACCAGCATGTTGGCCAAGCTATTCCTGTAGCCTTTGTGCCAAGATCAAGAATGAGTTTACAGTAACCCCCGAAGTGATAGAACATTAAAATCCCAGTAGTTATAATGATACATCTATCTTGTTGGGTCGTTTTGGTATTTAGTGAAATCCTTTGGTGGAAGTAAAGGTTTCTTAAATTTGGTCACGAGCAGAAGTTGCGTTGAGAACTTGATTTTTTGCAACCTCTTCCTCCTGCTGCCACTGTTCTGATATAGTGCTACTGCTGCTGCTGCTGCTGCCGCTGCTCCTGATATATATAGTGCTACTGGTGGTGGTGGTGGTGCTGCTGCTGCTGTTGCTGCTGCTGGAAAACACACAGTATGGCAGTGAAGCAAAATTACGCCCAAAAATTCCAAACTTCTGAAACCCAGAGAAAATGATGACTTTAGCCACTTTTTCTCCTGCTGCTGCTGAAGGTGAAAGCACGCAGTAACCTCCAAAGACACCTCCTGGATGGGAAAACACCATGGCAGTAAAGCCCTAACGTAACTTCTGAAACCCATAGAAAATAATGATTTTAGCAGCTTTTTCTGCGCGAAAGAGCAGTAAAAAGTAGTTATTGCTGTTGTTGTCCGCATCTCCCCGACATGCGGAGAACCAAAAACAGACCTCAGTCTCAAACGACACCTCCCGGATGGGAAAACACCATGGCAGTGAAGGACGGAGAAGCATCAAAATTGTGCCCAAACACTGCCTAACGTAACTTCTGAAACCCATAGAAAATGATGACTTTAGCCACTTTTTTCTCCTGCTGCTGCTGCTGCTGCTGTAGCTTCAGTTTCCAAAACGAAGACTTGGAACGCTCAAACACCATGGCAGTGAAGGACGGCAAGGCACTAAATCGCGCCAAAAAGCTCTCTAACGTGTCTTCTGAATCCCAAAACCAAGGACCTGAAACGCTCAATCACAGTGGCAGAAGGACGGACAAGCCACTACAGGACCGAAAAACTCTCTAACGTGTCTTCTGCTTCCATAGAGACTGAAGGACTTGGACCGCTCAGAAGGCCCAATCTGTTCACTCACTTGCTTCTCCTTCTGAAATCTCTTCCAAAACAAAGGACTTGGAACACTCAAACACAGTGGCAGTGAAGGGTTAATAAGCTATTAAAGGGCGCCGAAAAACTCCTTAATGTGCCTTCTGACTCCCAAAGAGAAACAAAGACATGGAACGCTCAAAACGCTCAATCTGTTCACTCACTTGCTTCTCCTTCTGAAATCTCTTCCAAAACAAAGGACTTGGAACGCTCAAGCGCAGTGGCAGTGAAGAACGGACAAGCCACTAAAGGACGCAAAACAACTGCCTAACGTGTCTTCTGATTCCATAGGGAATGGTTCACTCACTTGCTTCTTCTGAAATCTCTTCCAAAACAAAGGACTTGGAACGCTCAAACACAGTGGCAGTGAAGGACGGACAGGCCACTAAAGGGCGCCGAAAAAGTCCCTAAGGTGCCTTCTGACTCCCAAGAGAAACAAAGACATGGAACGCTCAAAACGCTCAATCTGTTCACTTGCTTCTGCTTCTTGTCCTTCTGCCCTCCCCGTGCCCGCGTTGTCGTAGTAGCCGTAGTAGTCGTAGTAGTTGGTGGTAGTAGTTGTCGTAGTCGCATTAGTCGCAGTAGTCGTAGTAGTCGTAGTAGTCGTAGTAGTCGTAGTCGTCGTAGTAGTCGTAATCGTAATCGCCGTATACGTAGTCGTAGTCGTCGTCGTCATCGTCGTCGGCGGCTGCGTCGTCGTCGTTGGCGTCGGCGTCGTCGGCGTCGTCGTCGGCGTCGTCGGCGTCGTCGTCGGCGTCGTCGTTGGCGTCGTC